CTGAGGATCCCCATCCGTTTCAACGCTTCAATTTTTTTGCTTTTCTCAGTTTTCTATCATACACCTCTCCTCTCCTCGCCCTTCACTCTGAAGGTTCTTCCCTGTTTCTATTTAACTGATGTCTTTCCCGGCATCTTTTCTCAATTCTTATCTCCGACTTATTCTTTTCTCGTGTTACTTCACACAAATCTTCTTCCTTTTCCATTTCCCCATCCCGTCTCCTTCATCCTTAATGAAAATACTAACTGACTAATTTCCAAGGCCCAATCAACGCACCGATCGTCGCACCGCCCGCCCAAGTCTTCCCAGCCACAAACACCCAAGGCCAGAGGATCTGCAGACAATGCGGTTTCCCAAGACAGTATAAAGACAACAAGTGCGTTGAAAAATGGGGCCCTGGGCTGATGGGTCCTAGGACTGTTTGTGATCAGTAAGTCTCCCTTTTTCTCATCTTTCTACGTCACGTTTTTAACTAACAAAACACCACATCTAGGTGTAAGAAAATGAAACGCGTCGAGAGGCGAGGAACCCTGGAGACGCAACAACAAATGGCGGTCATGCACCAGCAGCCTTCGCGAGGGGGGTCGATGTCACAACTTCCGCTCTCTCAAGGCTCGGATCGATCGATACATAGGACGGATATGGTTCTCACACATCATGGAAGTTTCTTGCAGCCCTCGCAATCCCAATCGCAGATTCTGGGGAGGGAGCCGTTGCCCGCACGCGCAAACCCAGGCTCCACCGCGTTCATCGCACTCGCATCCATCCCATACCTCGCATTTGAGAACCCCCACGGTTACACAAGTAGGTGGTGCAGGTCTGAACCGTAGCCCTCCGCCTTCCATAGCTGCGTTTGAGGAGGACGAAGGGGAGGAGGAGGATGCTGAACATGAACGTGAACAAGAGCATGATGGGGAGGATGGCGATTCAGAGCAGTTGCTGCTTTCGAATGTTGGGAGGGGAGGAAAGGTTGGGAGTAGGAGTCGGGCGGGTGTGAAGAAAAATGGTGCTACTGCCGCTGGAGGGAAGAGCAGCACTGGTGGGAGGAACACGCCTGCGGGTGGGGGGAGGAGCACGCCCGCGCGTGGTGGAGGGAGAAGTACCCCTGTCATAGGAGGAAGAAGCACGCCAGCTGGAAGAAGCACTCCATCAGGAGCGAGAAGGACGACGCCAGCAAACAAAAAATCGCCGTTGGGTGCGGCAATATCACCCACACTTGGGATGGAGGTGGACGAGACGGACGCTGATGCTAATGCGGATGCGGAAGCTGAGGCTGAGGCTGAGGCTGAGATTCTAGGTGCGGTTGAAGCGACTGGTGGTGGGGATCAGGAGTTGGTTGATGCGGATGGGGATGCAGAGGCGGAGCTGTTGGAGGCTGTGGATCCTGCCGAGGTGAATAGCAGCAGCAGCAGTAGCCATGGCGGACCGAGTGGAGGCGGGTGGATGAAGGAGGAAGATGGGGCTTGATATCGAGTTTGGTTGCGTTTTTCTCTTTCTTTTTTTTCCCCCACTCTTTCGTCGTCGTCGTCACTATCATCGCATGCTCCTTGCTATCCGTGATACCCCTCCCACACAAACATTCTATCATCTCATGCACCTACCACACTTGTGCACAAAAAAATCATTTTCGGATGTACATGTATTGTCGTTGGTCTATCATTTCTTTCTAGCCTATGTACTATTACCGAGGAAAAGGGTACGGTAAGCAGGGTATAGTAATTTTAGAGGCCGCTCCTACTACACAAAACAAAAGACGCTATCTGTGTAATTGTGGCCATCCAAGTACGTGTTCCAATCCATAGTGTGGTCGTGAGGATGGCCATGCGAATAGGAGTACTGTAGAGAGGAATGGTGGTTTCCCGGCTGTAAATGCCTATTGTTCATGAAAGGTATTATGAGTTGAGGTTGTTGACTCACAGTATAACTGGGGTTGTCCTCCACCTTGACAGATATACCGGGACATTGGTTTGGATGGTGTTGCGCGTAGTTCGAGAGTGTGTAGTTGTGTTGCTGTGGATGCTGGTCCATGGGGGGGTGTATGGGTGCTTGCATTTGAACAGGCTACAGGGGGGGGGAACAAGAAAAAAATTATCACTAGGATCCAAGGAAATTCTTATCGCCAGCATCGGGACGCGTGGATGGGGAGTAAAACAGTAACAATACTCACCGAGAATGGGGGACTTGAAGTGGCACTCGAACCCGATGGTGTATTTGGCATTTGGAATGCGGGTGCATGCAGGATGAATGATAAGCTTAGCCCAGGACCGTGGTGATTGGCGTTGGAGGGAATATTGCTGTAATGGTTCAAGGCTGCCTGGGGTATTGTCAATGGTGGTGGTCGCGAAAGTGGTTCCGTCATATGGGCTGGAGTTTCACTGGGGCTCTACGCGTCGATAAGTTTGAGCATTGATTAGTGGTAGAAGTGCGACCGTACGATGTATACCCCCTCCACAGCATGGCCCACCATCTTACATCTCTTGTAGTCTCGGTCACAACACCGACCATCTGGGTACGTCGTCAATGGGTCCCGACGCGTGACGGCGGTCGACACTCTGCTTTCTGCGAGGAGCCTCGAGAGTTCCTCGTTTTCTTCTCGGGCCCTCAAGAGATCTGCCTCGAGCTCGCGTATCTTCACTGTGTGAGGTGGAAGGGCGCCGATCTGCTCTGGAGTGTAGCCAAGCTCAGTTTGGAGCTTTGTTACGGTTTGTTCGAGCTGGGCGATGCTGATTAAAACGCAACGACGTCGTGTGGGTGAAAGGAACGGTGCTGACGCTTACCTGGTCAATATATGCCTTTCGCTTTGCTCGTTGTCTGGCTTGTGCTCGAGCATTACGGCTGCGTTCAGGGCGTTCAGAATTTGCCGTGTGGTTGTTAATAGACGACATGATGACCAAATCACGTAAAGTGGAGGAAGGGGATCGGGGTTGGAAAGAGGCGGACCGGAGGCGCGTCGAGTACTTATAATGGCTCAATTTTAGCGTTTTTGGGACCTGTGGTCGATGGGTTTTGCTTCCTAGCTGACCCTGAAGGAGGGCGTGGGCAGACCAATCTGTTGGTTTCCTTCGCTTGTATCAATGATATCTTTGATGTCCTGTGCTGTCTATCGCCATGCAATGAGCCCCCAGTCGGTCCATTAAACTGAATGACGAAGTTAACCATCTATGCTTATTTGGTTGTTAGAACTCACACCATTAGAAGTGGGTTTATGCCCTTTTTGTGCTCCAGATTCGCTCACGGCAATTCGCGGTGGTTGGAGGAACTGTACCTGTGATCGGGGATCAACGTTCAACATCAAAATACTTCCGCAACTACCAAAAGGGGTTTGTCCGGATATGGATGTAATTTATTTGAAACTCCGCAAAACTCACACATCTCCCGCCAACCTCGTAGGTAAATGGCATTGAGAAAAAGCAAACAAAAAAAAAGGTGATTGTTCAGCTTATCTGAGCGACATTGGCAACTTGACCATTTTCTTCTTATTTCCCTCGGATACCACGGGAATTCTCCGTGAATTCAAAGTTGATTCCACCAATCGCACTTTCCCGAACGCTTTTTCAGGTGGGATCGAAGTGAATATCTCACCCTTGATGCTCCCTGACCTCAATTGCCTTCTAAATCAGTTCGGCTGGGTCACAACAGGACCCCCGAAAATCCTGCTAAATGGTAGATACCACTCCGGACAGAATTTTTCAAAATGAGGCACTAGGATAGATACAAACCGGACAGGCTTTCGAAAAAATCAGCAAAATGCTAGATACAGAATCCGGACAGTAGTGTTGCCGAAGTCCGATTTGGTCTGGTTCCGGTTTGGTTTTGCTGGTTTAGGTAATTAATTACAAGCCTGACCAGATTAAACCCCAATTTATGGTCTGGTTTATCCGAAAAACCAGTTTGAACAGGATAAACTATGGTTTACAGCCCAATAAGGAAGTCGGAGTTTTAATAGATCTACTCTACAGGGACAGTCGAGAGAAGCGAGCGAATATAAGCGTTGATATCCTCCGGAACACCATTCTCATCCTCTTCGGATGCCTCAAGGAACAAGATAACTTCTGCACGAGATGTTCCCTTCGAAAAGTCGAGGGATTTTTCAGATTTAAGAGAAAATTTGAGCATTTGCAGCATTTCCATGAGATCGTGATGGATGCGATTGCGACGATCAGTCATTGTCTCTTTTGTTTATGAAAATACACGCTCACACGGGACCGCAGACCCCTGAATAGCGAGGTAATCCAATGTGGCCAAAAACAAAGTTGGATATTGAAGTTGATGTTCCTACGAAAATTTGTCATTTAGCAACTCAAAACACAATAATCATACACATCACCTGCCAATATGTGAGACTGCATGTTCCAGTTGATGAATCATTGAGATATTGTGCAATCTCGGCATCAAGGGACCCAAGAGCGGGGTTGTTGGACCTTGTCAAACCCAAAATGTCATCAGCCGTGCGATGAGCTGTGGAATTTCGGAGAGAACGGCCCCGAATTGCTTGTGATCGGCGTGGTGTATAGTCAGTGGCACACACAGGCCGTTGCGACTCATTGGTGACTTGGAAGTTAGGGCCTGGCTCCCGAGATGATGTTTCTGTTACACCAGTCCGCTTTTCGTAGTAAGGAAGGAGCTACCAAATAAAAATGTCAGCTATACATAAATTTTCGGTTTTATTTCCGTCACTTACTACACGGCGCAAGAGGCTCTTAGCCTCACCATGTTTTTCGAGTGGGATATGCCGAAGCTTCATGGATGGATTTAAAACTAAGTATTCAGGATGTAATCGTGAGATCGTAATGGCAAGCATATTAAACGTACTCATAGAAATAGTATATGCCGGAACGAGCTCGGTGCGGTGGTGATATGCATTGAGCTTCTCAATACCTTCATCGATGATATCCGAAAATGGGTGACCTAAAGAGGCTTGAAGGTCTCTCCATATTTTGACCATCGCGTCGAATGAAGGTATTGCATTGCAAAGTGTCGGTGTTTTTTCAGCAGAGAGTTTTTGCTGGAAAGCATCAGGAACCTAGAGGGTATCTTATGAGAATGGATAAGATTAAATTTCGAAACAACTTGAACTTGCCAGAAGGATCTCTCGCACCATTGCGAGCGCCTCCCACTCCGGATCTGAGAGCTGATATCTCCGCAAATCCTCAAATTCTTGTGAAAGAAAGAAATCTTCAAGAACCTAAACTCGAGTGTTGGGAACTTCGAATAAGCTTTATGGCTATCAGGTACCTTTTCAAGAATTAGTGCCCTTTCGATCATGTATAGCGTTGAAGACCATCGTGTATCAACGTCTCGCAAGAGTTGCAGTTCCAAACTGAGATTCTTAGCAATCTCAGCGAAATGCTGGCGGCGAAGAGAGGAAGCACGGATCTGAGCATAATTTGAGATTAAACAGTGACCTTGAGAAGAGTCATGATATTACTTACTGCGCGAACCAGTGCACGTAGTGTACCAATAGGATCACTATGTGTCGTACCTGCTTCAGCACTCTCATCCTCGACATAATTGGTGTGACTGAGAGCTGCCAAAACTGCTTTACATGCGAGGTTCACAATATGAGGAAAACATCTATATACGTCGAATGTGAAACTAAAAAAAATGCTCTACAACAAAATGGGTTTGTTACCTGATGCGATTTTCCACACGATCGAAGACTATTTGCCGAGCATGCAATTCACGTTCAAGAGATGCCATCAGAGTATCGTTGTTGGTGGCATTGTCCATAGTAACCCACCCGATCTAGCCAGCAAAAATTAAGATTTATTCATGCACAATATGGCAGCGGCACACTTACTTTTGATGTGATTGAAAGGCGGTCGAGGATGTAGAGAACGGCCTGGGCAAGATGTTCACCCGTATGACGACCGGGAACTCGGTGAAAGCCTATCAGCTCCGCGTGCAGCTTCAATTCATATTGAGGCCCATTGGGGGTCTGCGTAATGTTTGTCTCAATCCAATGGGCGGTGACGGCTATGAAAGAAGCAAGATTGGAATCAGACCACATGTCGGTGGTCACGGAAACCTTTCCGAGAGCGCGCTATTGGTAGTATGATGATAAATCAAGTCCCCGCCACAATTGAGATTAGCTGGACTTTATGTACCTTGATCTCGCTTTCGAGGCTTGCCAAATGTTCATCCCAAATCTCCTTAATACGATTCCGAATTGTAGTTCGATGGGGGATGTCAGAATCCTTGAGTTCTTCCCGCAGCAGCATGAAAATCCTACGCAGACGAGGATTCTCGACCACATTCAAAGACTGAAAGACAAAATCATAAGACCGAGTACCATGCCCCAAATAAATGAATACTTACCTGGTCATCTGCAATAATAAACTCTGTAATAGCATCGACAAATGCCTTGTAGGAATACTCTGGCATATCAGGTGGCCTGTCACCCGCCCCGGCATTTGACTGGGAAGTGCGCTGGCCTTTTGATGTGCGATACCTAGCTACCGGATCCTGTGCCTTTGCTGCTGTAATCGGAATCTTGAATTCGTCACAACTATCAACCCACATGCTGATATGATGCGTAAAGAGATGTGTACGAAGAGTACTTGACCCAGTGTCGAGACTGAATGGAAAGATTTCATGTGTGTTGTCCACGGTATGTTCGTGTCTGCAGTCCAAAGCCCAGTTCAATACATACTGAGACACCCAATAATGACTTACTGGCAAAAGACACAAAAACGCCCAGCGTTCGTCTCTTGGAAAAAGGTCCAGACATCGCGAGCACCTTTCTTCTTCTTTGTCGTGTTTGCATGCGCTTGGCCGGTGGTAGCTCCCGCCCTGCTTGTGCTGTGCCGTCCTACCTGAGGCAAGCCATGGGTTCTCTCGGTTGGAGACCCAGCCATTGATGGTGTCGGACTCACATCGGGAAATGATTCTTCGTCTCCTGATGCAGGCGCATCTGGTCGATCAAGGACGTTGTCACTCAGCGTGGGATTAGATGCATTGGCGGGGTCTGCCAAGAATGGGTTTGATGGACTATCGGGGATGGGACCAGTGGCATCTGATCCAAGGATTATAATGAGGACAACATAAAAATGTGAAAAGACGTTACCAAAATGTGTTGAGTCTGCACCAACTTCTTCATCAACTGTCGGCAACAATGTTGTGATGGGAGATGCGGGATTGAGGTGTGCTGTAGTACAATGATGAGGGTGTGTGCGCGATGGTCACGGAGTACTTACGTGGATCCGCTTGAGTGACGGCTTCAGGTACGTTGTTCACGGGAGCATCTGCCGATGCTGATATTGAGCCGCCACGACCATGTCGACCGCGTCGAGGAGGGTTGTTCGTCGTGCTTTTACGAGGAGGCATTTTTCTGCAGATACGAAGTCAGGATGTTAGTCTTTTAAGTAAAACACCACATAGAGGCGAAATACATGGTGTGGAGCAATCACCAATGTCGCCGTCCTCTCTGATTACCGTCCTTTAGCGCAATGACGAATGAGTGTCATTTGAGGTAGGGAACATTGACAAATGGATAGCTATCTACCTCATGCTTGTCCATGAGGTCGGTAGAGAATAAATTCAAGGCATTTAGAAAAAGAAGCGGTGAATGGATGGAGAGTGGGTATATTTGCCGAACACTGATAAGAATGTTATAAACAATCAGAGGTGGGACAAGGTATGTAAGTGAAATGAATAGAATGGGCGGTGCGCCGAACACGTTGACTATCGACACACCCTCGTGTAGCCTCTTTCCTCAAGATCACAATGCGCCATCTGTCCTCACTCCACTCCATAACAACCCGGCAACTCTCCTGGGTGGTAGGTTTACGTCCTGATAAGAGAAGCAAGGAGTCAGCACGCCATCAAAGTATTATGAACAATCTTCATACCTCAAACTGGGCTCATCATGAAAAGTAGGGGAGAAGCAGGCAAGAATGAGGCGGGGAGCAGAATACAAGGAAAGAGCGTGCGCCGACAGTGTAGAGCGACGTTGTTGGGGAAAAGTTACCCTTATCGGATTATCTACCAAATTCAGTTTCAAACCATCAGCGTGACCAGTTTGAAACATGCAAAAACCAGTTGATAAGGTGACCAAACCACAGCAGACCGCAGACCAATGGCTTGGTTAGATCAAGTTTATTTTTGGTCTGGTTTGTGGTTTGATCAGAACCGAATCGGACTTCGGCAACACTACCAGACAGGCTTGCGAGAAGAATCAGAGGCTAAATACTAGCCGGACAACTATGGTTGCGTAGCTCAACGGAAAAAAAGTATGTACTTTACGAAGCCTGACGTGTGGTCTCCGGTTCGAACCTTTTGCCGCACAAAAAAATTTGGCCCTGACTTGGGCTAGATACGCAGTTCGGACAACTTTTCGAAAATTTGGTCTAGGCTAGATAAAATCCGGACAGACTTCGCCAAAATTGGTACGGACAAGAATCTGGAAATCGGCAATTTCAGTATCTATCATTTAGCAGGATTTTCGGGGGTCCTGTCACAATGCCTTATCTTTCTTTGTGATTCATCTATCATTGACAGCTCGCCTTGTGCATTCTAAATTTGCTCAACATTCGACCACCAGTGAAATCCTTCCAGTGAGGTTGAAATTTTCTTTCAGAATTTCTGAACACGCCATTCTTTGGCTTAGAATTCTCTCCCTCCCAGAATTAAATGGTATCTTGGATAGTCGTCTTATTGAGTTCCAGTGCCATTTTAAGCATTCTACGTCTTTTATGTGAGTGCCTTTTCCATCCTTCACGGAACTAAAACTGGCACCAGAACTTCATTTCCTGGACCGCCAACTCGACCTCAATCATCAATGGGAGAGACACAACTCTCGGAATATCCCGTTCTGTCTTCACTGATTAAAATAAATCCACTGAGAAGAGAAGTTCATCTCCTGGATCATTGATGTACTCAGAAAAATGGTTAGCCAGGAAAATAACTGTTCTGGCTATGCAGCCAAGAGGCGCCCTATCTATATTATTCTGTTGCTGCCCCCTCCAGCTATAGAATAATATGAGTAGGTTGAGGAATCTGAATCTAGCTCAAAATTCAGATTGGTAAATGGGAACCCCATTTACATTACTCCACCACTGGCCCATCCTGTGTTAGAATAACATAAGGGCCAGTTACTTTGAGCTCGTAAGATGGTGGAATCCCTGTGAAATGACGACAGTGTCCCAAATGGACAAGTTATATGAGAAATTCATCAAGTATTTGAACAGGACCTTCCATCTCACAATCATCCTTCCAGCCTTTGCCATGTGTGCTGGCCCATTATTTGCTCCATACCCTGGCCTGCCCCTCGCCCAGCAGGTAAGATGAAATGCCTTTGCGCGATTGCCTCTGCTAACGATGCACACTTTTAGCACCAATGGATGCACGTCTGTGACTCCTTCACGGGAGAAGCATCTAATCACCCCCCGTCGGTTCTTCTCGACAACCTCTCATTTTTCACTTCAAGACTCTTGGAACACCACTTATCTTCGGGCAGTCAATGAGGAGTGGGAATTAAGACAATGCTCCAAGTATTAGCTCTGGACTCCTGGAATTGCCGAGTGAACATGCACATGAGCACCTTTCCCGCTGTTCCTCAGTTTCCCCAACAGAGTGTTTCAGGATGAACACTGGTTGCAACTTGGACATCGCTTCTGGAATCAAGTCTGTCCCCTTGCGATACCCCATTCATTTTTCTGATTGTTTTCTCTAGGTCAACGAAGATGGTGAGAGTTATTGGATATTTGAAAGTTGAGACGTGAGTTTCCCAGTTGTGTGTATCATCGCATATCGACCGACGTCTTTCAGCCTTCTTGTCCAGCCAATCCCATTGATTCCAAGTACATCATTCAGTTCTTTACTTATGGTCATCCAACTCTCTTGGACATAGGATGTTTTGGGTATGAATAACACTTCTTCTACAGCGCCTGCTCTCGTCCAATGTATCTTGACTTCAGATAGCACTTGACGTGTTTCCTTTGATTTGGTTGGTGCTACTCATCATCTCTCTTCTGAAACTGGGGTTTGCGTGAGTAGATGTCCATCTACCCTTTACTAATTCATCATTTATCGGTGTCACCAGATTTATCCTCATCGTCGTCCTTGCACTTGTGTTCAATATTAGTACCAATGTTATTGGTTTCACCTATGCGTAAGCCCATCTTTTTTATTTCTGCTGCAGTGACTGCAATTCCAAGCAAAAGTGGGCTACGAGTGTTGTTGGATCCCAATGGGCAATGGGACTGGGTGGAATTGGTGGGCAAAGTCTGACTGGTGCAGTCAAGAAAGGAGTAGGAAGAGTATTCGGTTGGAGGGTATCCGCAATAATGTTTTATTGATCCATAGCATTCAATACATAGGCTGAGTACAAAAAGGAAGCAAATACAACAGGGGATGATGAAAGGATGCCACATGATAAAATGAGAAAGTAATGTGTAGGTAGTAGGTCCATGAAAGATGTATTAGTAAACTGCTTCATAAAACACTATTGTGAAGATGCAATGGGAGTGCGTGATTCAGCACGTTGGCGAACGACAGGTTTAAAAAAAGGCAGGGGTTGCTCAGGTCTGACAATGAGGGTGATGGGTGATGATTGGACAGGAGGAAGCATAGTGATTGGGAGCGGCCGGCATTTCAAACAGTGAGGAGGCAGATCAAATGATGTTTGCACAGCAGTAGCTGGTGGAGGAAGGTTTTGAAATGAGGATCTCCAAACAGGAGCAGAAGGAGGCTGTGCGAAGGCCACGACAGGCAAAACGTCAATGGTTTGCTCGATTTCGTCATCTGGATACTTGGATACAGGCGAATCTTCTAGTCCAGAGCTGCGCCGCGAATGAGCCTCTTCGTCATTGAACCCACCACCAATCCCCAAAGATTCCTGATCCTCCTGTTCCCCTACCAGGTCTTCGCTGATGATGCTGCCATTTGTCTTGTTGCTGGAGATGGATCCTGTGCGTTTTCTAGAGCCATAGCAACTTCTCCATATGGCACCCATACCAACACCAGAGCCAGTTGACGTTATCGAAGAGGCAAAGGCTTTGTGGGTGATAATGCAGTCCTCCATTGCCTTGTCGAGTGCACGAGCTTTTCGCATGACAAGTGTGTCTCTATCGTGCTCTTCACTCTCGAGAGATCCTTCAGGCTTCAACCCCATCACAAGGTGGTCTACGACACGTGATACATGAATGACAGTTGCCCAAGTGGTCCTCACTACGTACTAATGTATCAGCGCCACATGACACGCATACTCCACCAGTGTCCACCCGCTGACCACATTCTCACATACGTGCTTCCCATTCAGGATGACCACTCCACTCTGGCTCACCCCTGTAACGGAGGAGCTGGACGTCATTCGATGGGGATGAGCTGATAATTTCATTGTGGGGAGGAAGATGGAGAGGATGGAGAGGATGGGGATGGTCAGATGCGATGGGTACACAAAGATGACGTTGTGGAGTGCCAGTCCGCCAGAACACCTCACTGGTGTGATTTGAGAACTCGGACAACAAGTGAGAAAGGGAAGGCGAACCTTAGTAGAGACCACCAGCACGTCGTTCTCTGTCATACCCATATGGGTAGAAACTGGTCAGACTCACTGTTCTTCTATGCAGTCATCCATCCCATCTTGGTCACATATGACAGTGACCCTAGCCCTTACCAAATGGACCAACCAAACCTGACAATGCTTCATACCATATGGGGCCAGCGGACTCGGCCGACATCTCAACAAATCATCCATAGTGATGGCTGGGCCGAACAGGTGGGTGCCTGCCAATAATGGGGGCTCCTATTGAAAATGATTCACAGTTGTGTGCCAATAATGGGGGCTCCTATTGAAAATAACCCACACTTTGCACCAATGCCATTATTATTTTGCGCTCTACAGGCGAAATTATTTGCACTCTATGGGGGTGCAATTATTTGTGCTCTAGAGGTGCAATTATTTCAAGCTCCACAAGAGGCACAATTCTTTTGTGCTCCATGGGGGCGCAATTCTTTTGCACTACAGGGGGCGCAATTATTCCGAGCACTACAGGGGGCGCAATTATCTCGAGCTCCATGAGGGGCGAAATTTTTTGCACTCCACAGGGGGTGCAATTATTTTGTGCTCCACAGGGCACACAATTCTTTCAAGTACTACTGTATGTACCTTGTGCTGTTGATAGGGTCACAAATAGTCTGTATCCAGCATTGTTTCAATGTCAGAGTGTGCTGTGCCCAATGTGAATGTGCACCAAAGGTCAGAGTGCGCCCATCAAAGTGCACCCAATGTGAATGGGCACCAAAGGTCAGAGTGCACCCATCAAAGTGCGCCCAATGTGAATGGGCACCAAATGTCAGAGTGTGCCCAATGTAAATGTGAACTAAATGCCAGAGTGTGCCCATCAGAGTGCACCCAATGTGAATGTGCACGAAATATCAGTGTGCCCAATGTGAATGTATGAAATGTTGGAATGTGAATGGGCACAAAATGTCAGTGATTATTTTTCTGCACAAAATGTCAGTGTGCCCAATGTGAATGCATGAAAAGTGCGCCCAATGTAAATGTGAACCAACTGTCAGAGTATGCCCATCAGAGTGCACCCAACGTGAATGTGCATGAAATATCAGAGTGCACCCAATGTGAATGCATGAAATGTTGGAATGTGAATGGGCATCAAATGTTAGAGTGCACCTATCAGAGTGTACCCAATGTGAATGCATGAAAAGTGTGCCCAATGTGAATGGGCACCAGATGTCAGAGTGTGCTCAACATGAATGCACACAAAATGTCAGTGCACCCAATGTGAATGTTCACCAAATGTGAGTGGGTGCCAAATCACTTGTACCTGCACTAAGTATGCATCTGTGTCTGTTATTTTCCAGTTGTATTTCCACCCATTATCTTTTTGCATGAAATGTCAAATGTGCCCAATGTGAATGTGCATGTGAGTGGGCACCAAGTCACTATGTTCCTATGGCATTTATTTTACACAAAAAATATGTGCCCCCCCAATTGTAGTAAATGCCTGGCCCACTTTGGCAGGGATTTATGGCACTGATGCACTGCACCCATTGGTCTCATTGGTGAGTCCTAACCTGTGCAATTATTTTGTGCTCTACAGGCACAATTATTTTGAGCTCCACAAGGGGCACAATTATTTGCACTCTATGGGGGGTGCAATTATTTTGTGCTGTAGAGGCGCAAATATTTCAAGCTCCACAAGGGGCGCAATTCTTTTGTGCTCCAGGGAAGCACAATTATTTCGAGCTCTACAGAGGGCATGAGGCGCAATTCTTTTGCACTCCAGGGCGCAATTACTTGCGCTCTATGGGGGAGCAATTACTTGCGCTCTATGGGGGAGCAATTATTTTGTGCTCTATGGGGCACAATTATTTTGTGCTCTAGCAATTCTTTTGTGCTCCAGGGAAGCACAATTATTTCGAGCTCTACAGAGGGCACAAGGCGCAATTACTTGCGCTCTATGGGGGAGCAATTATTTTGCGCTCTATGGGGCGCAATTATTTTGTGCTCTAGAGGTGCAATTATTTCAAGCTCCATGAGAGGCGCAATTCTTTTACACTCCATGGGGGCGCAATTATTCTGAGCTCTACAGGGAGTGCAATTATCTCGAGCTCCACAAGGGGCGAAATTATTTGCATTCCATGGGGGGTGCAATTATTTCGAGCTCCATGAGGGATGTACGCTCCACAGGGGGCACAATTCTTTCAAGTGCCACTGTATGTACCTTGTGCTGTTTACAGGATCACAAATAGCCTGTGTCCAGCATTGTGTACTGAATACAAATGTGAGTGGGCACCAAGACACTGCCAGTGTCAGATTGTCATGCCCATTGGTGCTTCAGGTGGGCACCATAACTGTCAATACCAAGTGTGTATCTGTGCCCATTATTTTCCAATGTGTATCTGTGCCCATTATTTTGTGCACCAATTTTGCCATGTGGATTTCCACCAAACATGAGTGGGCGCCAAGTGTGTATTTGCGCCTATTATTTTTCTTCATGAAATGTCAGAGTATGCCCAATGTGAATACACATGAAATATCAGAGTGTGCCCAATGTGAATGCACAAGAAATGTCAGAGTGTGCCCAATGTGAATGTGCACCAAATGAAATATGAGCCCAATGTGAAGGTGCGCCAAATGCAGGTGGGTGCCAAGTCAGTATATACCTGCAACAAGTGTGCATCTGCACTTGTTGTTTTTCAGTATGTATTTGGAGAGCGCCCAATGGGAATGTGCACCAAATGTCAGAGTGTGCCCATCAGAGTGCACCCATCAGAGTGCGCTCAATGTGTTTTATTCTGACTTTCTAAGGTGTCCAGACATGGGTAGGTGATGATATCTCTCATGCTCTCTCCTATTTCGCATTTTTCACTGCCATCCCATTCTCCTCCCATTTCCAAAACATTTTATGGTCCTATCCTGACTTTCTAAGGTGTCCAGACATGGGTAGGTGATGATACTTCCCATGCCCTCTCATATTTCGCATTTTTTACTGCCTTCCCATTCTCCCCCACCCTCCAGGTCACTCCCAAATCACATTGGTGCCTCCCAAATGCCCCATATTTCGCTCTCTTGGATGGTACAGGATATAGGCTGGGCTCTGGGCTCCAAAAGTACACTTCCTGGATTAATCTACAGGAATTGAAGATGGAATTCCTGGAATGGTGGATGGATTTCATGAATTTTCAGGACGGATTCCATAGATTTGCAAGATGGCTCTCAGCCAGTAACCTACAGCTACTTTTATCCAATATATAGTTATCTTTCTCTGTAACTTTTGGCTGAGCCTTAAGAAACGAAGAAGAGCACTGCAAGGCTCTGGACAATAATCAACGCAACATGCTTGACAGAAAAATCACACTTGTGAGAGTGTGACAGCCTAGACAAAACAGCTGAGTATTGAATTCAGTTGGCCACAGATAACTATTGCTCTAAAAAATGGTATCAGTAGATGCTGAATTGTGTCTAAATTATGATTCCAGCTTGTTTGAGCATCCAAGCTTCTTCCCCCATGTTTTGTAGCATGAACTTGTAGAATTATCGGAATGTTTGCCTTTGTTTGCTTGGCCCTTCCAACATCTTTCAAGTCTTTTGCTGCCATAAAATATTTACACAACTACTGGTGCTTTTCTAATAGGTATAGATCGATAGAGGACATTTATACAATTCTAATGATGCTAAATTTGTACATTCAAGCTTCTTCCCCCACCCCCTGAGCTGGAAAATATACCAGACATGGCCAAATTTTGACAAAGTCCAAACATCATTTGGCGCAAAAAAATTGTTTCAGAGGGGCACATGATGTCATTCAGCAGGGCAGCTACAAACTACTTTGGTCCATGCATTTACTACAATTGGGGGGGCGCATATTTTTTGTGAAAAATAAATGCCATAGGAATATAGTGACTTGGCGCCTACTCACATGCACATTCACATTGGGTGCACTCGACATTTCATGCAAAAGAATAATGGGTGGAAAAACACACTGAAAAATAACAGGTGCAGATGCATACTTAGTGCACACATTTGATGTGCATTCACATTGGGCGCACTCTGACATTGAAACAATGCTGGACACAGACTATTTGTGACCCTATCAAAGCACAAGGTACATACAGTGGCACTTGAAAGAATTGAGCCCCCTGTGGAGTGCAAAAGAATTGCGCCCCCTGTGGAGTGCAAAAGAATTGCATCCCTTATGGAGCTCAAAATAATTGTCCCCCCCATGGAATACAGATAATTTCGCCCCTTGTGGAGCTCGAGATAATTGCACCCCCTGTAGAGCTCAGAATAATTGTGCCCATAGAGCGGAAGTAATTGCGCCCTGGAGCACAAATAATTGCACCCTGGAGCACAAAAGAATTGCGCCCCCCATGGAGCGCAAAAGAATTGCGCCTCTCATGGAGCTTGAAATAATTGCACCTCTAGAGCACAAAATAATTGCGCCCCCATCGAGTGCAAGTAACTGCGCCCTGGAGCACAAATAATTGTGCCCTGGAGTGCAAAAGAATTGCGCCCCCCATGGAGCGCAAAATAATTGCACCTCTCATGGAGCTTGAAATAATTGCACCTCTAGAGCGCAAAATAATTGCACCCCCATAGAGCACAAGTAATTGCACCCTGGAGCACAAATAATTGCGCCCTGGAGTGCAAAATAATTGCGCCCCCCATGGAGTGCAAAATAATTGCGCCTCTCATGGAGCTTGAAATAATTGCACCTCTAGAGTGCAAAAGAATTGCTCCCCCATAGAGTGCAAGTAATTGCACCCTGGAGCGCAAAAGAATTGCACCTCTCATGGAGCTTGAAATAATTGCACCTCTAGAGCACAAAATAATTGCGCCCCCCATGGAGCGCAAAAGAATTGTGCCTCTCGTGGAGCGCAAAAGAATTGCACAGGTTGGGACTCACCAATGAGACCAATGGGCACAGTGCATGGGTGCCATAAACCTCTGCCAAAGTGGGCTGACCCATTGTATGAGGGGCTTTTTTTCATGCCACCCATCCATGGCGAAAAATTCACCTGTTGTTGCCTGCAGGCGCAACAATGAGGCTGCTGTCAACACATTTAAATACTTACTTCACATACAACAGGTTAATAATATATCTATTTAACTTTCTCCTGCGTGGTCCCCCACAGTGGTACTAACAAGGCAGCACTCTGGTTAACTGCCTGAAAGAACGATGGGCGCAACAATGGGATCCGTGCAATTGGGCGCAACCCATGGGCGCCAGAGGCAAAGTGGGCCGATCTGTCCTCTATGGGGCTCTGTTTGTGCAGCCCACCCATGTCGCATGGCCTATTTTAGAGTCTCGGCCCAGTCATTCCCAAGGCCAAATTCTTGACAGCTCGGCCGAGTCCGCTGGCCCGCTGTTGATGGGCGCCTGTCACACACCGCTGGCCCATCAGTGATGGACCCATTTGACTGCCCTAACTGTCTTGGTGGTGACTCAGAGAGAGTAGAGGCCATTTATCTGATCAAATGCGCAATGTTAACAATGAATGTGCCAATATTGAAAGGATACATTCACCGTAATAGCTTTCCGCGGCAACCTCTCTCTCATGAATCCCAATTTGTGTTGTCTTCGTCAAGGAACGCGGCAAGGGAGGCGCAATCTTGCACATCGTTGCTGTATTCGAGTGCACTATTGCCTGGTTCTTGAAGATCTTTTCCTTTTGCCTAACGGTCTCCAAACGATCTTTTTTAAAAAACTTCATGTCACTCACTTTGCGGGGATCTGGAAGCCGTGTCCTGAAGCGCGATGTGCTCAGAGAGGGACAAGGCAAAGTGACGTGCAGTAATGTTCTTGTTGTCCAGTTTCAAGATTCAGGGTCGAAAGGAAAGGTGTAGGGTAGATATATGCACATGCGCACTACCAATTTAAAATTGGAAGGGTCGGAAGGGTGGTACAACATCAGCGCTGGAAAGCTCCACCCTGGCTGTTTAGCCACATTCAGAAAAACAGCACAAGAGGCATTAGTAAATAGAGCTCACTGATGGTACTTAGTCATGGTAAAGAGATCTAAGAAGAACTGGATGCGGTTGTTTGGCACTGTCGAGTTTACCAAAAGCCTGACATGTCACGTGAGTTATATGCTCGGGCCGAGAAGTGGTTTCATCCTGTTTAAGTGTATGAGTTTCACACTCGTTCGCTTTTTTAGCTTCTGGGTTTGAGGCTTGAGTTGGGTTTCTGCCACCGCCATTCGAATCGGAGGATAGATGGCGATACAGAAGACAACTCGGATCATTGTCATCAGCATCATCATCATCTGTTGCACCCTGCACACACCCAACCTTGCTCGGACCTTGCTTCTGACTTTGTTCGATACTACATGGGATGCTCGTCGCTTTTCCAGCACCCATTCTTTCTGTCATGGCGGACACTGTTAGGGAGCTTGAGGAGGGCGAGGCTTTGGCTGGCTTGTGGACGCGTGAGTTGCCCTTTAGTCTTCTTCCTTTCTCCTTCCCTCTTTTTTCTTCCTCTCTTCCTCTTTTCTTCTCTCTCCTCCTCTTTCCTCTCCAATCTCTACTTCAAATTATTAACATACCTCACAGTATTTACGAAATGCAAAGAATCACTCAAAGACAGGCGTCGACTGGAGAACATGTCTTGTAGGCTTTGGTATCACGAACTGATGTTGGCTGGTCCACCATCAGAGAAGAAGAAGCACCCAGTCGAGAGAGATGGAGATGGAGATCATTGTCCGCTTACCCTGACTTTGGATGTGGATGAGAGGGCTTGTAAGTGACCTTCTTTTCGTGCTCCCTTCCCTTCCCTTCTTTACACATAATAAACGATGCTGACTTGATATCTCATTTCTCAGCCCTGCCACATATACCCATCCCACCTACCCACAAGCCATCTTCAATACGGAGATCCGGCTCCGTTATCCAATGAGCGTTGGGAAGATTACATGTGATATGTTACCCCCACCATACAACCTGAGCGGCATTGCGATGATTTCGATATCACCCACTACTAACACCACAGTACTGGACGAACCCTGCTCAGTCAGGTACAATCTATCCATTTTACCCCTCCTTCCTCTGTCAGAACCCACTATGACAAGGGAGGCCGTCATTTCTGCAGCAGAGTCGTTACCTATGCCTGCTGTGGTGGATGTTGCAGGTGGTTACGTGTCTTCTGGGACGGTTGCAGAGTCTGGAGGCTCCATTCCCTCAACAGCAACAGCACAGGGCCCTCCATCTCCACCTTCATCCACCACCTCTCCCATGCCTTCGTCAACATCCGCCATCCCCTCACTCCCTCAATTCCACCACTATCAATGTCAACCCAAATATCGATACAAACCACAACCCCACGCGCACCATCACCACCATGCCTGCTCCTGTGCTTTTAAGTGTGGGGGAGAGGGCTCATGGGCAGTGTCTTACTTTGCCTGGATGAGCTGGGACACTCTCAGCTGTGAGGGCATCAGGTGGTGAGGGTAGAATGTCAGCAGGTGAGATTTGCGTTGAGGCTCGAACAAACGTGGATGAACCCAAAGACAATGTGGAGGCTTGTATTCGCAAAGGTGAGGACATGGTCGAACCACATGACAAAGACGCAGACTCCAACAGCAAACCGTATCACCACCATCAGAAGTGCAACTCGACCTCTTTGATGAGCTCACGTGCTTCTTCCGCCATGTCAGTGTTGACAGGTACGACAGGGGTTACTAGTGCGAATGTTAGTGAGGTTGATGTTGAGGAGCATCACAGTTTGAAGGCTGTTGACCAGGAGGGGTCGCTACAGGGAGCCGAGTGTACTTCGCCCTCTGCTTCACCTTTGCCAGCAGAGCCTTCACACCAGTCACCCAAATCCACATCAACGAATGCACATTCCCAGTCACCCAAGCCCTCTCAGCTCATTCTCACTTGCGCTCATCCACCACCTCTACTACTACTATTACAACAACAGCAACAACAGCCTGTGCTCATGCTCATGCGCTGCAGCCTGCTCCACCCAATGCCATCACTCGTCGAGCAAGTAGTGGTGGTACAAGTCAAAGTCAAAGTCGGCCCTTGCTTTCCGTTTCTGGCACTTCTACATAAGTATTAGTGACCTTACCCCAACAACACTGAGCCCCCTGACCATACAAACAGGCCATGGTTGATGGTGCCTGCTGATGAGCCGATGTATATGTTGACCCCATCAAAGCTGGCTTGGCCACCCATATTTTCTTGAGGAGTGGTTCTGTGTGCCGGCTGACCAGCCTAATGATGAATTGACCCCACTGAAATTGCCTTGGATTGTGGGTCAGCTGAACCACTTTTGATTCCTCACAATATGGATCAGCCCACTTGCCGCACCCTGGCTCGGCAAAGTCAGTTTACATACCTGAGGTCATGAATCTCATTGTCAGCCCTGAGCAGAGATGAGGCCAGCCCCCATCTGTTGCCATCTCCAGCCTGGATATGGTCTGGCCCAGTCGGCACCACACTCCCTACCATTCTTTGGCTTGTCTCCAATTAAACCATTTATGTTGCCATCTGTCCCATGATGATAGCCAGCCTGGCTAACACATGGCCTAACTAAGTTTACTTGTTCATATGTTGTACCAACCCCCAGTGTTCTTTGCCATGTCCTGCATTCAAAATCACCCTCTGGTTTTATGTTTGCATTAGGCCATTGAGTACATTAGCTGGTCCTGTATTCTGGTGCAAAGTTACTCAGCAGACAAGGTCATTGAATCTGTATAAATGCATCGAAACAGCCAATCAAACATGTTCAGATGCAAAATAATGGAGCTGACAAGTGGGAAATAGTACAAATACCCAGGTTTCGCCTTGAGTGATTGAGCCGATTCCATATTAAATCATTGTGTCTGAGCCAGTGCATTTTTCAGGGAAAAGATGTGTGAGCTGGCACCATGTCCAGGTGAAATTACACCAAGCAGACATATGAATTACATCAGTAATGGTGCACATCGGGTGATGCAGGCATTTAAATCCTAAACTGTTGAAGTACCTTGGCTGGTGCCATGTCCAGATGCAAAATATTTGAGCAGACTAGTGAATGAAATCGGTAAAAATGCCTGGGCTGCACATTGGGTGATATTAAATTGTTGAAGTACTTTGGCTGGGTGGAAAACAACTGAGCAGACAAGTGAATTGAATCGGTAACATTGCCCGGGCTGCATCTCGCATAATAGAACCTGTTTAATATTAAATTGTTGAAGTACTTTGGCTGGGTGGAAAACAACCGAGCAGACAAGTGAATTAAATCGATAAAAGTGCCCGGGCTGCATGTCAGATAATAGAGCTGATTTAATATTAAATTGGTGAAGTACTTTGGCTGGTGCCAAGGCTGGGTGGAAAATAACTGAGCAGACAAGTCAATTAAATTGGTAAAAGTGCCACGGCTGCGTCTCAGGCAATAGAGCCGATTTAATATTAAATTGGTGAAGTACTTTAACTGGTGCCGAGGCCGAGTGGAAAATAACCGAGCAGACAAGTGAATTAAATCGGTAAAAGTGACCAGCCTGCATCCCAGATAGAGCCGATTTACTATTAAATTGTTGAAGTACTTTGGCTGGTGCTGAGGCCAGGTGGAATATAACCAAGCAGACAAGTGAATTAAATTGGTAAAAACGCCCAGGCTGCTGCTGATGATTAAATATCAAATTGTTATGCTGTCTACGGATGCGAAATCCCCAAGCAAACAAGTGAATTAAATTGGTAAAAGTGCCCGAGCTACACTCCAGGCGATAGAGCCAATTTAATATCAATTTGATGAAGTCCTTCAGCTGGTGCCAGTGTTGAACTTAAGGCTTAGGGGTTAATAAGGTTTAAGGCTTAAATTCATTCTAAAGCTAAGGTTTAGCATCAGTCAGAGTTTTCAATAGGTCTTAGTTAAGCCTTAGAAATGTGTGCCAAGAGAATATGACTACTATGTGGAATGAATCAATTATCAGATGGATAAATTGCAAATTTACTGTCCAAACTTGGAAACACTTTATCCCTGGCACCAAGCAAATTGGGTCCCCTATCCATGCATACTTTTCTTTTCATGGCTAAAAAAAAATCTGATATTGATGAGCAGGGTGCAGGTGAGGCAAAACCACTTTATCACTGGTACCCAGCAGAACCAGGTCCACATTCTTGCATGCTGTCATAGCTGAAAATAAATTGATAAGTATTGATGGACAGTCTACAGATGACACAAAATCAGAGGTGGCAGTCATACATGGAGGAAGCCCAATTGATGAGTTTTGGCAGATCAGGAGGCAGATCAGGCGAGACTATGTACCAGATGATAGGACAACTTTTAGAGGGCGTGATGACCCCAAAGGACTGACAGAATAATCTATTTTTAGGCAGAGCCTTAATAACCCCTTAGAATCAAGTCTTAATTAAGGCCTGTAACTAAGACCTAAGCCTTAGCCAAAATTCTGGGGGTTAATAACCCCTTAGAATCCAACACTGGCTGGTGCCGTGTCCAGGTGCAAAATGACAAATAAACTAAATTGGTAAAAACACTTGGGCTGCATGTCGGGTGATGCTGGTAATTTCATATTAAATTGTTGAATTACCTTAGTTGGTCCGGGTGCAAAATCACGGAGCAGACAAGTGCATTAAATCGGAAAAAATGCCCGGGCTGCATCTTGGATGCCAGAACTGATTTAATATTAAACTGTCAAAGTATTTCAGCTGCTGCCATATCCAGATGCATAATCACCAAGCAGACAAGTGAACCAGATTAGCAAAAATGCCCAGGCCTCACCCCAGGTAATGCTAGTGATTAAATATTAAAGTCCTTCAGCCACCCCTGTGCCCGGCTGCAAAGCCACAACTGAGTGGATTCAATTGGTAAAAGTGCCCGGAAGTACTTCAACCATGCTTTGTTCAAGTGGACCACTCCTGAGCCTACAAGTGAAGTATATCACTGAACATGCCTGGGTTGCATCCGTATCACTTCAGTCTGGGTGTAATATTACTGAGCAGACAAGATAACACAACTCATGAGGGTTGTTCCCCAAGCTCGGAGTCATTCATACACCAATGCCGAATACACAAGTTAGTTATAACTTTCACACCATCCGCCTGGTGCCCCCTCTCAATGCCATCATTGTTGACCGACAATTACTAAATCAGGCACTAGTTTCTCCAATAGGTGTAATCCCGCCCCCATTCTGCCCACCAGTCATGAGTATAGTATTTCCACTGTTACTGGACTATTTCTCTCCAAAAAAGTTCCTAATCATATCTTGGTGGTGTTTATTATATATGGTGTGAGGTTCACTTAAGGCTGGGGTAGCTAGTAGGTTGTTCAAAGAGTATTGATCAGGTAAGGAAGGCAGGATGTTTTAAATATGTGTTTTGGTGGATACAGAGATATGGCTGGAATGTTAGTGACTATCCATGTACCATTGTCCTGCTCCATATATAATCTTCTGAAATCATTATCTTGTCTTGTCAATCTCTGTAATTCCTTTTAAACTTCTTTCTAGCTATCCCATCCCTACCTCCAACCCACTTTTGACTCTCATTGGTGAAACTGTGGTGATGTTACTAATGGATATGATGTATTCCTCCCTCCTCTTCATGCACCATTTACCAGGTAAGTTGCTCCAATTAGAACCTTTAATAATTGAACATATTCCTCTGGAACTCCCATGGGATTTATATGTCTTCTTGGCATTTTGTGCAATACAGATACTCAGAACCCCAAATGGCTATTCTGAGCTACCACAAATTAAGCATATATAATATACACTGTATTCTTTCTGCTTTGGGGAGGCTACAGTAAGGTATACATACCATGGGGAACATTGAGGGAGATGCATGTCAACTACACTACTATAGGTTCTTGGTTTGAGTATGTCATAGACTACATCAAGATATAATTAGCAGGGTTTTTGGAGAGAAGTGGCCCAGTAATGGTCAAGATATAATGCTGATGACAGGAGGGCAGGATGGAAGGATGGAAGGATGGAAGGATGGGATGATGGGATGGCAGGATGGCAGGATGGTGGGATGGCAGGATGGCAGGATGGCAGGAGAATCCACTCACTTGCAACTTTGCAGCCGGACATGGCATTAGCTGAAGGACTTCACCAATTGAATATCAAATCGGTTCTATTATCTGATGTGCAACCTGGGCATTTCTACCAATTTAATTCACTTGTCTGCTTAGTCATTTTGCACCCAGCCATGGCACCAGCTAAAGGACTGCAACAAATCAATATTAAATTGGCTGTATCACCTGAGATGCAGCTCAGTTATTTTTACCGATTCAATTCACTCATTTTCTTGGTTATTTTGCATCCAGACATGGCATAGCAATTTGATATCTAATCACAAGCAGCAGCCTGGGCATTTTGACTGGTGACTGCATACCCAGACATGGCACCAGCTAAGGTACTTCAACAATTTAATGTTAGATTGACTCTATTATCCGAGATGCAACCCATGCCTGATTCAATTCACTTCTCTGCTATGTTATTTTTTACCTGGCCTCAGACCAGCCAAAGTACAACAATTTAATATCTGTCACCCGATGTGCAGCCCAGGCACTTTTACCAATTTAATTCACCTGTCTGCTTTGTTATTTTCCACCCAGCCTCGGCACAAGCCAAGGTACCTCAACAATTCAATATTAAATTGGCTCTATTATCCGAGATGCAGCCCGGGCACTTTTACCGATTTAATTCACTTGTCTGCTCGGTTGTTTTCCACCCAGCCAAAGTACTTACCAATTTAATTCACTTGTCTGCTCGGTTATTTTTTACCTGGCCTCGGCACCAGCTAAAGTACTTCAACAATTTACTATTAAATCGGCTCTATTACCTGAGACATAGCCCGGGCACTTTTGCCAATTTAATTCACTTGTCTGCTCGGTTATTTTCCACCTGGGCTTGGCACCAGCCAAAGTACTTCACCAATTTAATATTGAATTGGGCACTTTTACTGATTTAATTTACTTGTCTGCTCGGTTGTTTTCCACCCAGCCAAAGTACTTCAACAATTTAACATTACACAGGTTCTATTATGCGAGACACAGCCCAGGCATTGTTACCGATTTAATTCACTTGTCTGCTCGGTTATTTTTCACCCGGCCTCGGCACTAGCTAAAGTACTTCAACAATTTAACATTGAATCGGTTCTATTATCCGAGATGCAGCCCAGGCACTTTTACCGATTTGATTCACTTCTCTGCCCAGTTATTTTCCACCCAGCCTCGGCACCAGCCAAAGTACTTCAACAATTTAAAATGAAATTGGCTCTGTTATCCAATGTGCAGCCCAGGCATTTAATTCACCTGTTTGCTCAGTGATCATTTACTCGAACACAGCAACAGCTGGATGACTTCAACAAATTACTTTAATCACCTGCACCACCCAATGTGCAGCCTGGCCATCTTTACTGATTTAATTCACTTGTCTGCTTGGTTATTTTGCATCTGGACATGGCACAAGCTAAAGTTCTTCAACAATTTAATATTAAATCATCTGGGCAAGTCACTTTCCTGTAAACATACCACTTGTTGGACATTTCAACTGAGCATGGAAGCCCAGGTCTGGCTTAAATAATCCTGCTCGGCTGCATAAAATGAAAGCCAAGCAGAAAACATATACTAGTCCATATTGAAAAGGCTGGGCTGGCTCAAACATCGGCTGATCCCATGTTTATAAATTATCAATTTTCGTGGCCGACTCAGTAGTGGTATCCATTTGCTGGACTGATCAGCCGAGCCATGACTACAATAATGTGGGTCCCACCAGCTGACTCTGCTAATCAGAATTTAAGACCCTCGGCCGATCACCAACCCAGGAACATTCAAATCTGTCAACTGATCCTGCATAGCTATCTTCCATCAGCCGATATACAAATAGTTGTCCTTCGCTATCCAGGTGTAATTCCTGCTGATCTGGCTGTGCTAAATCTACATCGCCGGCCGACCCTTCATTACCTTATTCATGGGACTGCATCAGCCAATTCATCAACACCAGGTTATTGTCTCTTATTGGCCCATCAGCAGGCACAATCAACTATGGCCTGTTTGTATGTTCGGTTGGTGGGTGATTCCTACTAACTGCCCTGGCTTCTACCTCTGCCAAGAGCAAGAGTAGGAGTCGGGACGCAGGTGCAGGTGCTGGTGTGCTGGCATTGGGCATGACGATGAAGGTCGGAGCAGCAGGGGAGGGAGGAGTGAGTTGGGTTCTGGCGTTTCGAGGGGGACACTTGAGAGGGAAGAGGCCACAGCAGCAGCTGCAGCTGCCCATCTGGCACTTGCAGCTCAACAGCTCTCATGGTTGGGGGCGCCTTTGTTGCCACAACAGCTCGCAGTGCCTCTCCTGCCCCAACAACAACAAAGGACCATCATGATTGCAATGAGTGAGTCAGATTATGAGACTGATTTGGATGACGGCAAGGATGGGTCATGGTCTAGTGAGGAGATTAGTGGTGATGAGGTTTGTGGTTTTTTTTTATCTTTTAGTTTCTTTTTATTGAGGTAACTGATTTCATTACAGAACGTACATCCAGTTGAAGTGAAGGCCATAGTACCTCCTCCTCCTCCTCCTGCCCCAATAGCACCGCCCATCATCCACCCCATCCCCCCAATCCAAAAAACGGTATCCAACCAAACCAACGCATGCACCAGATCCATCTCACGCGCGCAAATCCACCACGCTCAAGCTCAGGCAAACACGCAAGCTACAATGGAAAAAGCTGCGGCTGAAGCACAGAGGCACCAAGATGTGTTTGCAAAGTTGCCTGTGGCGTTGTTTCAGGACCTTGAGAGGGGCGGCCCATCGAGGACGAGGAGTGCGGGATTGTTGACGCAGTTGTTGAATCTGCCGTTGGAGATTTTCCTGGCAAATCATCCGTATAGCAAGAGCGCTGCTGCGCTGCCTATTTCATCCCAGGTCCAGGTGGGGAGCGTGGTTGCTATGCCCACTGGTCCAGTTGTGAATGGCAACGGGAACACCAATGCCATTGGGACAGGTTGGTACAGACCCAAAGGGCGTCCCCAAGGCCAAGAGCTCGAAGACGATAGCGGGAGCGAGGACAAGGCGAATGCGGGGATACAAGTGTCCAAGAGCGTAGCGCAGGAGTGGTTGGAGGCCTTCGCGCAACAGAGGGGCATCGTCATTCATGGAAAGCAAAAGTCCATGAGTGGTAGGCTTACAACCTTGGACGATAACATCATTCCACCTTGGCTCAATGCATGTGGTCAACTTCGTCGCCAAGTGTCTGATAGATGTCTGTACCCTGAGGAACAACCCCCAACACCCACACCTATCCCCATTGGACACTCGTACAACCTCCCTCCCCCCACTGCACCTTCCACGCCACGTATGACCTGCCATCAGATGCTCCAGACAGAGATGTCGGAGAGTTTGAGTCAGAATTTGTTGTGGGAACGACAAGTGAGCAAGGTCAACCCTGTGGGGTATCGTGCAAGTACGAATGGGGGTAGTAGGGGTAATGTGCTGGGGGGGTTGAAGCTGTTGACAACTACGCCTAGTATGGTTCAGCTTCGGGCTAAAGGGGAGGCTGCTGGGAATGGGACTGGGGCGGCTGATCCGTCTAATGCAGATCAAATACAGCCTCCTGATAGGGAGAGAAGGGGGAGTGGGGGGGAGGCGGAGGAGAGGGAGGAGAGGAGGTGGTTGGCTAGGGCAAGGAATAAGAGTTGGGCGGACGATTATCACTTTAAGGGGTGGTAATCTGTGAAGACGCGCTCGCCCGTGAACTTGAACTCACTCTTTCTGTTTTGAATTTGTTCCCTTTTTTTCTTTCTTTTGGGTTTCATCCATCGATTCTTCTTCTCATTGACAATAACAATCCTGACCCTATGAAACCAACTAATTACTGCCCATCCATCCTCCATCCTTGGACCCTACTTTATCATTCTTCACCTGTACATGCTCACTGACACATTACTATTTAATTTCACCCATCCTTGTCGGGTTGTCACATCATCCATCGATATCATCAGCCTACCTACTATCCCCCTTTAATAACTCTCTCTTTCTTCTGTCTTTTGTCTTGCACACTTGTCTGTACTCATTAATTGCTTTTCGTTGGCTCTACTACTTACTATTCTGTCGCTTCTGTTGTACCACCATTCACTTGTGCAGACTTTTCTCAAGCACCCCTTCTTTCTGTTTTTGATACCATATGCATTCCTGACCTCATCACATTGCATCTTGACTACTTGTTTGTCGATAGTGTACATAATTATCCATGGATTTCTTGCGCTAGGGAGCTGAGCTGTTGTTTGGAGATTTTCGTGACCTGTACTGTGTATGTCATTTGGTCTTTTTTGTCCGCGTTTATTAATGGCCTTTGCACTATTTAGGAAACATGTGCCTCTAAGCTAAAGCTCGGGGGCCAGTGACCTGTATGTCATTCACTCTTTTTCGTTGACATTTTCAGGTCCTCCCGGAACTTCCACATCCCGCGCATATGGCGTTTTCAAGTGACAGAACTCCTAGACTCAGCAACAATTCCTCCTTCAGTCTGCGATTCACCTTATAACTGTAGCAATTATCGCGGGATGGGAAGCGGTGGATCGACTCGTTGGGTGCAAAAGTTAGGGTGACGACATTTATTTGCTCATCGTTGAATCGTCTTGGGTGTAATTTTGGGTTAAGTACCACAGCATTTTGGTGTGAATATGATGGTGTTTTGCATGGGTGTCACGACGAGCGCTGAGACCATGTACTTGTGTACCTCTGGGAAGTTTATCCTATCCAAGAACAAAAATAAGTGAAGAAAATGTTTCTAAGGAAGCAACAAATTGATACAGGTCTTCTTGAAAAGTCGAAACAGAATTCGTACTAGTTTGTATTCCAGCATTTTATGTGTTTCACGACAATTTCATGAGTTCCTTCAATATAGAAGGGAGTTTCTTTAGGATCACCTCTATTGACCTGACAACGAAATGGCTGTGGCGTCCTGTATTGCCGTTGAAGATTCAATATTCAGGTATGATGTCATTCTGCAAGAGCGTTTGCAGTAAGTTGCCACGATGATGTCATCCTTCTCATCTGCATCTCAGATTTTCAAAATGTACCTTCGAATGGAGGACATGAGTTACTATGTTTGTTCAGGAGTTTGAAACTTTTTCAGTGTTGCACAATTTCTGGCTCACCACTTCCTCAAATCCTTTACATTTTTTGACCATTCGATCTAGCTTTTCTTCTTCTACATGACTATCTATTTTTTTTTGGTGTAGATGTGTTGTGTTCGCTGTCAGAGGCATTCCGATGCTCAGAGTTCAAAAATATCAAGAGATTGAAACTGCTGTCACACTACATCACAATGACTTTGGCTGACAGATGAAGATAGTTTGATCATGCAAATGTCACGCTTTGAGAGCTGTTTGTGAGCAAAATTTGGTATTTTGCCCTCCCTCCTGAGAGCAAAAGCTTCATCTCTCTCTCTAGAAATTTGTATGTAGACTTTCAAATACAATTTAAATGTCCTAGGAAAGTTTCAGAATAAACGGTCTAGCCGATCTGAAGGGATCTGAGAAAATATTCCATTACTTTTGTTTGGTTGGTGTAATGAAAAGCACAAATTCATGCCTCCAGAGCACAAATCTTCGAATCTCTCTCTAAAATTTTGCAATTGTAAATTTCATACATAAATACATCTTCCCTGAAAATTTCAAGATTCTAAGGTAAGTGGAGGGCAAGATAATGTGCAGTTTCAAACTCCTGATGGGTTTCAAACTCCTGAACAAACATATTATGGGAAATCCGAACGTCCAAGTGTCAAGCGGACAGTCCGAATGTCCGAATTACTAATTATAGCCCTGGGTTACAAGTGTGACGGAAGATCACGAGTGCATGTTTCAACTTTTTAGCACAGATATATTTCAAGTATATTTACAGTCATAGAACTCGAATTCTATATTCCGTGACAATGAGCACCATACATTGCGACATCCTTGATAAAATTGGTCTTCAAGAACCTCCTGTGCACAACAAAGTTGGTTGGTGGAGATGGCGGGCAGATGTGACATATAGGGGGCATCGGGAAGGGCGTTGACAGTTTCCGTGAATGGTGGGGTAGACTCAGATGAGCCAGCGACAGGTGACAGAGGCAGTAATGACCGAGCTTGGGCAAGATGAAGAGAAGACTAGGGAGGCTGGCGTGGGAGTGAGGTGAATGACACATCATTTTTGCATATCACAGTCTTGGTGGGCATCCAGACCAACGCACGCTCCCGTATGCCGATGCATATGCCTGCACACCAATATACACAGATGCACGCTCCTGCACGCCGAAAATCTTACTGGCATGCAAGCATGGCACGCCAATAGGACTATTGGCATGCTTGCACATCTATAATATCAGCCACTTGACTCTAAAGGGCGGTGTGGTACTCTAAACTGTTCAGCAGTGAGCTATTTGAGGCAACTGTGCTTGGGACCCCATAAAACAGCCTGCAGTTGGCTCAATAATTCTCAAGATTGAGGGGTCACATATCACTAGGGAAGAGGCTCAAAGGCTCAAATAAAGCGCCTCTCTCATCCAACAAGCAATCAGTGTTTAATATAAATATTTTCACTGGCGTAACGAAGAAACTGATCGATAAAAAAGCAAGTAAATCGTGCCCAAGGCCCGGGGTTAGGGCTAAGCCCAGCTTTCAAAATATTGATACCAGGGGGTGGAGTTGCACTGTGCCTCACAGGACACCTAATAAGTAGCTATTTACATAAGATATTTCTGGAAAAAGTGAGGCATATTGTTCTTCCACGGAAGTACGTCGATGATGAAGCGGCGGAATCATGGGCTACCAATCTTGGCCATATGAAACAAGTATGCTTGGATGAGCGACATACCTCTTGAGGGCTGTTGCTAACCTGCTTTGCAATAGAGTCTCAGAGCTGAAGTAACATTCCAGTTTGTATGAATATATCAACAACCTGATACTGACCTGATAAGTTACACGATAGAAGGTGGGTACTGGGGCAACATTCTACAACATGGCGACGACAGGAAAACACGACAGTTCCACTAACCCATTTCATGTGACAGAGAATACTGGGTTGAACATCTTTCTTTTCTGCCGATGATAATCCCCTTGAATAAATCAAAGCGGCGAGGTATAAAGTGTATCTAACATACCGAGAGTCAACGTTAAAGCTTTACCGAAGATCAGAAGGTTGCCTCTGGCGGCGAAAGTTCATCAGTGATAGAACCGTAAATCAGAATGAGAAAAACTGCTGAATAAATCCTGATGGTACTTCGTAGACATATTGATCCTGCCCATCGTGAGTGACGATAGGGCATTACAACAAGTAGCTGACCTTTACAACGATGTGGTGCAAAGTCTTTGGATCATATACGTACAACTGGCTTTCCTATGTTGTTTAAACGAGGTGTTAGATTGTACTCTTCCCCTCTAAGGTCAGTTGACACATGCCAAACAGAGCCTTGACCTTTACAACCCCTCCGTCTGATATGCCTTGCTCAGTTCTGTAATAAATACAAGACACAGCACTTACACTTCGTTGCAATGTCCTTGTGGAACTCCCAACCACGAGTCGTAAAACGCTGTTGATAGTTTCCTACAATGAATTCTCAGGGGTGCTTTGTTTCGCGAGGAAAAATATCGTACTTTTCAAAACCGATGGAGAGGGAGGAGCCGGGATGATATCCAGAGATGTCTTTACAACGTACTGGCGGACTATTCGCCAGAACGCAAAAGACACACCATATATAAGTACCACTTGAAAGATGACATAGAGCATGGTGAAGGAAGCGCGGGTTGATATGAGGCCGGAAGAAGCATCTGCCTTGCAAATATAGCATCACTGATATCAGAGACGAGAAACAAAAGAGGCAGGAGACAATTACTTCAGCGAATGTCCACCGGGGAGATGAGCATGTTGGTGCAAGCCCAGCTGAGAATATGAATGAGGATTCATAATATTTGTGGGGCGAGGGGAGTAGATTACCACCAAATGGAGAAGGATGGAAGGTCGAAAAAACAGACATGGGGACGCGTCTTCCTCAGGTAACCATTCTTTTAAGCTTCCGACCAATCCTGCATGTGAGTTCTACAAAATGGTTATTACGATGAGGGATTCCATGAGACGCTGTTTTACATACAAGGTCCAGAAAGTACTCAGCAAAGCCCCGCGGTGAAACTCTTGGATGCTCTTTTTTATGAAGAAGCACCACATTATCACCACCAGTAGCCGCCCATTTACTTATCGCAGTGGAGGGTCCGAGATACACCCTGGGGACTTCTTGTTCGCTCATGGCCTGAAATGGCAATGCGTAGTTGCTCTATATGCGTGGACATCGTTTCAAGGTGGGGGAATGTCGAAGGCTGAAAGATAATGGAGATGAGGATTGAAATGGCATCCTTTGGCACTAGTGTTTGGAAGTCCGGTCTCGTGACTGGAAAAAGACCGTAACCAGACCGGACCAAGACCGCAAAAGACCGGACCTGCGGTTACAGTCTTTTATTTTTAAAATGTAAAGACCGCAAAAAAACCGGTTAACGTGAACCGGTCAAGACCGGTTTGGACCGGTCTTTTGTAGCCCCTTAAAGACCCTTTAAAACGCACCCAAGAACGTACGATTTGGTAAAAAAACGAGAGAGATATGAATTAAAATGTAAATTACTTTTGGGAATAATAGATGTACCAGACTTATTTTATAGAAGCACCAATTCCTAACGGAATTTAATGTTCTTAGGCTCGTTTTGAAGCTATTAGAGATGTTAATAAATTTACCGATTCATAATTTTAAAATATTGGCCTAAAGACCGGTCATAAACCGGTTAAAACCGATGCAGACCGAAACCGGTCTATAGACCGCAAAAAACCGCGGTCTGCGGTCTTTTTGCGGTCCGGTCTGGTCTTTTGACTTCTGGGGAAAAGGCAGACCGGTTACGGTTACGGTTAACGCCCCTGGGAATAAAAAAACCGGACCGAACCGGACTTTCAAACACTATTTGGCACTCCAAAGCCGCCTGGCATTTGTCAGTTCCCTGGACTCCACCAACGTTGATTGGAGTGACAGAGTTTACCAACGTCGACTGTCGATCATAGGGAATCCGTCTTGATCATTCGCCCCTAAGTAAGTAATCATCTCTCTGCTGGTGTCATTTATTAGTATGCAAGCTGTATTGAGGCCTGTTCCCCGCAGCTGAGATATGTTTGCGGTGAGCGGGAGGAATTTTGAAATTGTGCAATGATGGGGGATTCAAGTGAAAATCAGTGTCACACATGCATGATGAAATTGTCACCTGAAATCACGCCCTCTCCCTTGCATCTCCTGCTTCCGATCCAACTCTCCAGCTTCCAACAAGCTTTCAATTCACATATCCACTACTTGCGGGAGTGTATACGTTTTGATTCCCAATTCATAGGTATGTGCCACGGATACCTTGCCGACGTCATCAATGATAAATTAATCACAGCTGGACCACGTAGATCTGGCCTCAGTACCGAAGGTATTATTGTTCAGTAATCTCATGATCTTATCTCCAGATAAATTCGATCCGCCAATATCAACGACTGTGGCTTCATCCATCGAATCCAACACTGGCATAGGTGGTCATGCAGGGCGAAAATCCAAAAGATCGGATCGTGTTTCTACATGCGACGGGCAAGGCGATAGCGTAAGGAAGGCATGGTCTAAGAAAGTAGCTTCTCCAGAGGTCGATAGGAATAAGGTCCGTCCAACACAATGTAAGTCGGGTTCTTCTTCCCAACTTTCTAAGTTTTTGATCCTCTCAAACAGTTCTTGCTCTCCCTCTCGTAAGTCCTACTCAATTCAACTCAGTGAAGAACAACCACCCCACTCTATGCGCCAAAATTGGCACTTTCCAAAATGTGTTGCTAGCACAAGGGCGTCCCAATCCTCAATCAAGACCCATTGGCGGGCTCGACAAATACATCGTGATCAACCCAAGAAGGCTAAATCTTACTCTCGGCATGATGGCGCTCGAGGACGACAATTCAGATCCAAGCCCATCCACACCAACCAAGAAAACACCACAAAATGCACTTGCACTCTTAGCTTCCCTCCGCCCATATATCTCAGACATCCTCAATGGCGACGAGGGGGAGAAATTAACATTAAACGAGATGGGGTGGTTCCCTGAAGGCCGGGGAACGGCAAGGCTAAGAAGGTGCTGTTTTTTTGCCTGGGAGTTCTGAAGACCAGAAGCTGTGGGCTGTCTTTCGACTCCGCTGTATTCCTAGGTACTAACTGATTCTGGTGTTGCTTAGCCCTAAAAGTTTAAACAAGAAGGATGTATCATCGAAACACGACCACCCAAAGTTCGTCTTTTTTTCCCTGGTTTTCCACAAGACTAGTACTCAAGACGGTGGCGTTTTCCAGCTACATTACACGATCCTCAACACGAGCTATCGAGAACCCCAGAACTTTAGACTAGGATTGGACATTGAGGATGTTTTGGTGAGCGACGCTATGCGGAAATTGTTAGCAGGCAATGCGTCAGAAATGCTAGTGAATGCGGGAAACGTGAAAGTGGACTCTTTGGGGACGTACAATGTGCGTGAGGTTCAGTTGTGGGTTATGGGAAGCCATGGACCTGATAATGAGTATGTGAGCTGTGTTCGCATTTCGTCGTCATAAGGAAATCTTTAGTACTCTGGCAGCCTTTGAAATTTCTTCTGGTCAGGTCTCTCTTCACGATTCTGTTATCAAACTCGAGGTTCAAGCTTCAAGGCCTAAGGTTCCACTGCCAGTGTGTACATGTCATAAAATCGTTATATTCCGTAAGTACGTTGCTTGCTATATTCTACAAATGAGGTCAGGAAGTTGGGGTAATATGCATAAGGTAAGCTTGTCCAAGAAAGGGATAATGCAATTGGGTTCATCGCAAATGAACCGTGGATAATGTCAAAGGGGGATAATGAAAGTGTGTGAACAAAGATGAATAAAAAATGGCAAGGAAAATGAAGATAATAAACCATGAAGATGGAGAACAATCCAGCAGAGATCGAAAAATTACCACTCCCCAACCCACTCCCCTCCACTGGCAAGGGAAGAAAAGACGCCCTTGTGCTACATGAGCTCATCATATGTCCCTTGCTTCCTCACCTCCCCACCATCAACAACCACAATCCGATTGCACATCATCATCACCTCAAGCTTGTGCATGACCATCATGGTAGTCCGACCCAGCTTGGCCGCCTGTATCGTATCAAGAACCTTGGCCTGGTTCTCTCCATCCAGAGATGACGTACATTCGTCAAGGATCAGGATCCGAGAGGGCCTAGTGAGGGCACGAGCGATCTGGAGCCTCTGCGCTTGGCCGCCTGAGATGAGGGAAGCGTTCTCGCCAACGGGATATGACATCCCTGGGGCAAGGACAATATAAAGTCATGGACCTGCACAGCCTTTGCAGCATGGTGGATGTCGTAGTCTGAAATTGCTTGATTTCCGTAGCGGATGTTCTCTGCGATGGTGGCGTCGAAGAGATTAGGGTGTTGAGATACCACAGAGACGTGATCGTGGAGGTGGTTGATCTCGATATCGCAGAGTCTGTTTAAGCCGATGGTGATGGTGCCATTGGTGGGTTCGTACAGACGTTGGAGGAGGGTGGCAAGCGTGGACTTGCCAGAACCGGAGGGACCAATGATTGTGATGCACTCGCCGTCGTCGATGGAGAGGTTGACGTTCCTGAGAACGGGAACCTCTGGTCGCCCGGGATAGAAGAAATGGATGTTGTTGAGATCGATTCCGCCTGCGAGTTCTGGGTGGACAACGCCCTTGGTTTCGTCAGTGGATGTGGTGTTGAGCTGGAGAAGTTGGTTGAAGTCGTTAGCAGCTTGTCCAGACCTTGCGATCTTCTCAGCTGAAAGGAAGAGACGTCAGCACAGAACAACGCTCGACAGAATGAAACTTACTGAAGGCCATGAGTTGGGAGCCAATCGTCACAGAGAATACAACAAGGTTGAGGACTTCAACCATTTGGAGGTAGGTGTAAGTCCCACAGGTGATGAGGATGGCGCCGATGTAGAACAAGAGGGCTTCAGCCAGGTAGATGAGTGCGCTGGCGAGGCCATGGGTACACTCTTTGACAAAGGCACCGCGAACGCCAGTGGTGAGCACTTTATCAGTAGCAAAGTTGAAGTGGGAGCAGAAGATGCCTTCGAAGGCCATGCAACGAATTCCATGCATGTTTGAAAGCGTCTTATTATCAATGAGCACCAAACCAATGAAAAAGGAAAGAATGGATGCTCACCTCGTAATACCCCTTTGCAACCTCTTCCCTAGCCCTCTTATTGCGCATCTCACACTTTGCAACAAGGCACGACTGAACAGCCATACAAGCCGCAAACACCGGCGCCAAACCCACCCCAACCAGCATCACCTGCCACCCTGTAATAAACGCCCACACAAGCTCAACACAAAGCATCAAAAACACAATGCAGCATTGGCCCCAAACCACAGCTACCAGATCCTGTGCGTCCTTTCCATCCTTCACCAACACCTGCACCACCCTACTCACTGCTAGTGTTTGGAAGTCCGGTCTCGTGACTGGAAAAAGACCGTAACCAGACCGGACCAAGACCGCAAAAGACCGGACCTGCAGTTACGGTCTTTTATTTTTGAGATGTAAAGACCGCAAAAAAACCGGTTAACGTGAACCGGTCTTTTGTAACCCCTTAAATACCCTTTAAAACGCACCCAAGAACGTACGATTTGGTAAAGAAATGAGAGATATGAATTACAATGTAAATTACTTTTGGGAATAATAGATGTACCAGACTTATTTTATACAAGCACCAATTCCTAATGGAATTTGACGTTCTTGGGCTCGTTTTGAAGCTAATAGAGATGTTAATAAATTTACCGATTCATAATTTTAAACTAAAGACTGGTCATAAACCGGTTAAAACCGATGCAGACCGAAACCGGTCCATAGACCGCAAAAAACCGCAGACCGCGGTTTTTTGCAGTCTGGTCTGGTCTTTTGACTTCTGGGGAAAAGGCAGACTGGTTACGGTTACGGTTAATGCCCCTGGGCATCAAAAACCGGACCGAACCAGACTTTCAAACACTACTCACTGCGTTCTCTGGGCGATCAAACCATTTCTTGTCTTGCACCATGACATTGTACAGAGCCATAGACCGGATACGCATGACCCACGACATACCACAGATCTCCATTTTGAAGTACTTGGTGCCTAGGAGGATACCGTCGATCGCTGCGATGCCAACGAGGATTCCGCCGAATTTGTTGATGGTTGATATGTCCTGTGCGCCAATGGACACTTCAAAGAGGAGGCGGGAGAGAAGGAAGGAGAAGATGGGGGTCATGGCGCCAGAGAGGCAGCAGGTTATGAGGCCGATGAAGATGAGTGTTTTGCAAGGGACGGTGGGGTATATGCTGCACATGAGACTCCATATTGAGGGAGATTGCTCATCACAGTCAACCATAACCTCCTTGTCACGCTTCTGGACCTTGGCATTTGCTAGAGGTGCAAACTTATCTGCATCCCAATGTGCATGAATGACTTCCTGTCTGTTACGAGAACTGGCACTGTGTCCCAAGTGAGCGGAAGCACCACTCTTCTCAATGGCCTGTTTCTCCTTCTCGAATACCTCTTCAGTGTCCTCGTCAAATGCTGTCCGCAATGTTGGCGAGGTGGATGAGTATTGCAAGCTGAAACGCCTGCTTGTGAGGGTGTGCATAGCTTGGGGTGAAGTGGGTGAAGGAATATTGATACTGGAGGGCTGTCGTCGATGATTGAGCATGGGAGTGAGGTTGTCGGTGGGAGGGGATTGGGTGGATCCCGAATGAGGGAGAGCAGGCACGGCGGTATCCCTGCTCGACCATCTGTCCAGCCTTGAGGACGTAGACAAAGTCGTTGGGTGATTTCCCTAAATAAAACAATGTTAGGTTGGGACAAAGAGTGAGCAAAGAGTGAGAAAGGGGAAATGAACTAACCCTAACGGAAGGACGTAGACTGATGGAAAGTTCACGGCTGAGTGGGCGTGTAGTGACATTCGTATTGACTGCGAGAGTTGTGTTGTGAAGCAGTGTGCATCAAAAAGAAAAGAGGGAAGAGAGAAAGTGGGGAAAAGAAACAAAGAGAAGGTGGGTCACTGGGAACAATGAACAGTGCTAATCCCTGGATCGTGACATGCTCTGGAGCGAATCCATCAGAGCTTTATACCGGTTTCTCTATTTTGCATTGTTTTGGCCATCAATGACGTTTTGTTGGGCGATCTCGATCATGATCACTTCCTGGAACAACCCACTCCGCTACCTTGCCGCTACCACTGATTTATTCCTCCTGTTGACATGACTCACACTGCCGTTGTGCCACAACCCAGGAAGACTCGCCGTGGGAAACGAAACACGAAGACAGTGGAGGAAGCTACCCAAAAATGGGTTGAATCCAGTGGACTGGATCGTGTCCTCACAAAAATTCAGAAAAACACTGGTAGGTACTGTTAATCCTGATGCATTGCCTTGCCATTCTACTCATTTTCTAGAAACCACAACCATCCCAGACTACCCTGGACAATTCCTTAGCCACCAATCTCACGATCAAGTTTCTGCCACACTGGCAAGAAAATTTCCAAACCTCAGCATCGACCTACTGCGCACGGAGCCTGAGGAAGGGAGGCTGTTGTACCCATCACTTTCTCAGGATCAACTTGATCCTCAGCACCCTCCATACCTGGCGGCACATTTTCACAACGTGCTCAAAGGTCCTGCTCAAACAGCACTTCTCAATGAGTGGAACTCTATGATCTCATTGAAGGTCAAGTATCCCAAAGTCGAGCCACAATGTTCGAAGGCTTCAGCCGCTTTACATCTAGGTGTCTGGGAAACTTATAGGCTCCTCCCCATCATTACGGGCGACTCTCACAACCAACTACCTGAGGTCATTGTGGTGATGGACCTGTTCTTGTCCCTTGTTGGGCGACTTATCGCACCAAAGCTGAGAAACTTACTGGAACTAGGGACTGTCATGGATACATCCGGGTATTATCCGTACCCGATCCATGGATTTTCCCACCCATGGATTGGATAAGCCATGGTACGGATATATCTGTGGGTATAGTGGCGCAGACCAGCCCTCCATCTATCTTCATCAGTTCTTCACCGTTTTCCACGAAAAAATATGCGTTAGAAAGCTGTCGTTTAGGATAATTTTGTTATAACAAAATTCACTGTAATATCTTACGTGAACTTCAGTAGAAGCTCATTCTTTAATAATGGTGGAGAATGAAAGGATCAAGCCTCAGTTCATAAAAATATCACTGGCATCTTCATAAAAAGCAAACATCATAATTTGGATATGAAGTAAGTCTTCCCATCCTTCTTCACTGTTGTTTACGATAATGTGCCCATAGCTTTTACGCCATGAATGGTACAACGGTAGAAGTGGATAACACGGACGCCGAGGGACGGTTGGTTCTCACTGGTACGTCCCTCTTTGACCCCTCCATTGCGCAAAGACGTGACTAATCTGGCAGATGCGATCTGCTACACGGCAACCGAGTATAAACTCATACACTTATTGATGTGGCCACTCTGACAGGGTGAGTTCTACCCCCTCTTCCACTACCGCCATGCTGGAATCATGCTTCTTCTTAGAGCCATGGTCATCGCTGTTGGCGGGGTGTACTCTGGCGTATTCTCTGTTCGTCCATTTCTGACTTGTTCCTCCGATGGTGATATGACGTGAATCGTTTTGTATACTTCAGACAAGCTTTGGAATGAGCTCCACTAGTGTTTGAAAGTCCGGTTCGGTCCGGTTTTTTGATGCCCAGGGGTGTTAACCGTAACCGTAACCGGTCTGCATTTTCCCCAGAAGTCAAAAGACCAGACCGGACCGCAAAAAGACCGCAGACCGCGGTTTTTTGCGGTCTATAGACCGGTTTCGGTCTGCATCGGTTTTAACTGGTTTATGACCGGTCTTTAGGCCAATATTTTAAAATTATGAATCGGTAAATTTATTAACATTTTTAATAGCTTCAAAACGAGCCCAAGAACGTTAAATTCCGTTAGGAATTGGTGCTTCTATAAAATAAGTCTGGTACATCTATTATTCCCCAAAGTAATTTACATTTTAATTCATATCTCTCTCGTTTTTTTACCAAATCGTACGTTCTTGGGTGCGTTTTAAAGGGTATTTAAGGGGCTACAAAAGACCGGTCCAAACCGGTTAAAACCGGTTCACGTTAACCGGTCTTTTTGCGGTCTTTACATTTCAAAAATAAAAGACCGTAACCGCAGGTCCGGTCTTTTGCGGTCTTGGTCCGGTCTGGTTACGGTCTTTTCCCAGTCACGAGACCGGACTTCCAAACACTAAGCTCCACGTGCTGCGGGTGAGGTCGAGTACGATAGATTCTGGTGCATGCCGTTGGATGAAGATTTTGGCCCGCAAATCTATTCCAGTAATGCCGATTTGCAGAATGTGCGCGCTCTTTGACACCTCCCGCTTCACCTCCCCTCGCCTCATCCCTTTCCTCCTGTCAACTACTAACTACCTTCACTTTATATACCGGAGGTAGACCCGCAGGTTCATGCACAGCTGTGCTGTTCCTCAAAGCCTCATCATACATCTTCTCATTGTGATGGCCTCCGATGTGTCTGCATCATATGTACTTATCCCTCTCAAACGGAGCAACCTTGATGGACTGATTCAAGCACATATATATAGAGAGCAATTCACCGATATTACGATGAGCAGATACTCTGAAAGCATCATAAATCACTCGTTTGCTCACCGTTCGCAACGTCAGACACGATCACCCAAGATAAAATTTTCCTCCTTGGGCATCCTGAATGTTCCATAGCGTCGTGGCTGCATAACCGGGCTTTCAAACACCGATTCACATGTAGGACTTTCAGCACCATTTGAAAATGTAGGTTCTTGGTTTGAAGCTATTGGAGTAGTCACTCTGAGCAAACAGCGTCGGTCTAGAAACTGAGGTGGGAGAAAGACACACCAAAATAGAGGGCAGCTCAGGCAAGCAACATTAACGCGTAGCCGGAAAGCCACGGAACCAGGAGAGGCTTCCTGAGTTGGACATCTGCGAGCTTTGGATAGTTATGACGCCGTCTTCCGACAGACTTTACTGTGTGTTCCACTTGGTAGCATTGTTTCTAGTAAAATTGTTAGACAGGTACATACCCGCGCCAAAATAGAAGCGAGTATTTACCCTCTACCAGCTCCCTTCCATGTCTCCGAATCGTCCTTTAAACCATATACTTACGCCCATAGGCATGTCCAACCCGCCTCTCTCTGACCTACATTCGACGCAGTCATGGCCTACGGTTCCAGTGCCGATAAGACCAGGGGATGGGCCTAAAAAGTATCTGGATGGGCACAGGAGGAAAGGGGATGCGCCGATGAAGGGTGGAAAAAGAGACATAAAGGAAGGAAAGTAAAGGGTAGAAAATAATTGTAAGGTGGATTGTCTGAGAAATTATAAGCAAGCAGACGAGAAACAAAGGGAGAGAACTGACCTCTTCGGGGGTAACGGGTTTCTGATTCATCTCTCTAAGCTCCTCAATCACACGGGGATCGCGCCTGAGACTTTTTTTGCAACCGACGAGAACGATGGGGAGACAAGCGCAGAGGTGAATTTCTGCAGAGATCCAGTAAGAAAAAGGGTCAGAACTCGATAAGGACAAGAGGACACACCACAGGGGCTCAAGGTAAGAGATGAACCTTGTCCTGGATATTATTGAGGGAATACGGAGAGTCGACAGCGAAGCAGATGCAGATGATGTGCAACGTGCTTTCCGTCATCTGCAACGTAGTTCTCGAACACTGTTGGGACGTAGACCTAGATAGAGGGAATGAGCATGGATCGAGTGCGGCGTTCTATAGAAATTTCAAGCGCACTTTGGACAAAGTTCCTTTAGAAAATACAATCAGAAAGCACCTCTGAACAAGGAAAGAGGTAGTTAGAAGGGGAATCTCAGGCCGGGCATTGTTGTTCGATGACGATGACGACAAATACGCCAAAAGCAATAAAGACACACACCTTTCCTCAAGCACCATCACCAACGATGTCCAGCTCCCTGAAGATCTCAGACATGCCTTATGGGATGAGAACGAGGGGATGCGAGGGGGAGGGGCAGCGACGACGGCAACAATGACAAAACGGAGTTGAGTAGCAACATGGTACTGAGCAGCTGTTTTGAAATGTAGCTCAAAAGCGTAGCCTGAGGTGGGAGTAAAGACTTATTTGCTCATCATGATGCCTTTGATGCCTTGCAATCATGCGCGCTTGCTGAAGCGCTCAACTCCGGCGATAACCGATAACACTGATCTTCTCACGGCTCTCATTCTGCCACTCCTGACCTCCACGACTCTATACTTATCATCCACACGCCACCTATCACGATCAGAAACCTCATCGCCCCTGGCCTCACAGGAATACGACCTGAATCAGTACCCATGTACTACATACAGACCAAATTGGAAAGATGTGTTCAAAGAAAACGTGAGTTTGCTCTGATTCTTTTTGATAGTGGTTTGGGTGTCAGGAAGACTGCCAGAGTCTAGACTTGAAGGATGCGAGGAAGCCTAAAATGAACGGAATGACCAGCTCACCAGGATCGCTGTATGGGAAGAATGCTGCAAACCCACAAAGGATCCTCATTTGGGTTCTTGTAGCCCGCGGAGGAGATGAAGTAGATGAGTTGTGGGGCAGATAATGCTAAGGCTTCCGGGCGGAAAGCGGCAGGGGCAGAGGGGATGGGACATGAGACGACCCACGCACCAGCAGAAGAGTGGTACAGGCAAACCCTAGAATGAAACCTGACAGAACTAACGGCGAATAAGAGTTAGGCAAAGGGAGGGACTGTGGCTCGGAGTGGACATGGCCCAACTCGAGCCACATGTCACCAGCGACTCATATATACAAAAGGTCCCCGATAGAGGCCCAGTAGACGCAGAATCGTCCTCGCGTGAACTCAAAATCTACGATAAGTTCGGGGCACAGTAATCAACAACATGCACACCGGACCGCGAGATATTTTAAGAAGGCTTTGTGAGATGATAGCCCCTTTTCGAAGTGGTATTCTAACCATCAAACATGCCGGGCAAGACTTCGTTCGCGTCATTGGCGGCAGTGGTGATGACCAGGTTGATGATGGCGGTGAGGAGAGAAATTCTTGCTGTATATACGACATTGATGCGCTATTCATCCCAGATGCGACGCAACATGTCCCAGTCATGTCGCGCCTCAATGATAGCACCACCAACTGCTCCCTTTGGCCGCCGGACAGACGTTGTATTCAAATCGAGAGGATATCGCGGCGACTGGCTCACCTCACCGCTTGAATCATAATCCACCACCATGAAAGACCCATCACTCAATCCACCATGGTTCAAAGTCTTCACCATGATATTCGTGTCACGAATATCGCCATGCACAAACCCAGCGTCATGAAACTGTTTCAAGCATTGTCCTACGTTCTCTGAAAGACGTTTGCGAGAATCGTGGTGCTCCTCTGACAACAAGCCAGGGTTCTCCTTGATCAGTCGGAACAAGCTGATGTACTCCTCCCTGACGTCATCCATAATGACCATGTACATTCCTCCAGGGAGGCGCTCGACAGCATACAGTTGGGGCGCAAAGCCTTTCCCAGCAAGAAACTGGTGACCTTCTTTACAATAGCGAGGAACGAATTTGATGCAAATGAGAGCATCACCGTCACTCATACGGCCGAAGAACAGATGACGACCTTGCAGGTGGGAAACATAATTGAAGTGTTTTACCGAATTATCCAGAGACGTAAAAGAGGTTGGGTGTGGGTGGATCGGATTATGCTGGGGTCCAGATGGATTGGCATTGTACGCCTGATAATAGGTCTCTAGAGAATGGATTGCGTTTCGGAGAGCTCCAAGATGGCGCACCAGCTTGCCCCTCATCTCGATATCGGTATATTGATAATGGCATGGGATGGCAGGGGACAGCATCTGTACAGTCGGACGATCAGACCATGCAGCGCCGGCAAATGCGATAAAAGGCCCTGAATGGTATAAGACGGAATGAAGCTATTATTGAGAAAGGATAACAAACCGAAAACCAGGACGATCATGCATGGTAAAGCCGAGTTAAGATGTTGAGCAGCAAATTTCCGCGTTGCTTCAAGGAAATAAAGGATAGCTTGAAAAAATGGCTCAGCACCCGCGGACCCAACTTCGTTCTTACATTCGAACAAGAGAAATCTGAATTTGCCAATTGACAAATCGCCATCTGTGGTGAAGCTCTCAATCACTGTAGGCTTTACGAAAATCCCATGATTTTCGAATACGGCTAGAACAGTGTTTTGTCAACCCTTCTCATTTTCGTAGATTTTCACCATAGCCTCTCCGAAGGCAAGAAAGAATTCAGCATCGTCAGGCGTTGGCACATAGTCCTTGGCGTCGTCGACAAAATTTCCAAATATGGGATGGAGCAGACTCATAGGAAATGACTCAGGGCAAATTTTAGGTCGATTACATAGAATGGATCCATCGGTCTCTTGGTTTTTGAGGAAAATTTGAGGTTTCCCACCGTTTGAAGGAGCATCTGACTTTCGGCCGCGGCAGAACGCCGCCCGAGCCTCATATAACTCGCCGGTAGATATAATTGGTACGAATGAAGATGGCGGTGGTCCCTTTGAGCGAGAGGCCGGAGGCCGCGCCTTGATGGGATAATGAGCAAGATCATATGAGAGTCGTAATAAGACTTGCCATGAATCTTTGCAATAACATGGAGATGATTGGTATCAAGCGCCGAGGCAAACACATCCGACACTAGGCTATGTGATCGCAAATTTGGCCCGAGAGTTTGGAGATCCCAAGGCAGGTTGTCAATGGGAATGGAGACCTTCCAAAGGTCAAGATCTGGTGCAGCAATATGGTTTAGATGAGGGGCTTTCTTCTCCTTAATCAGGTCTCTGAGAAAGCTGATACTTTCGTTCTTTGAAATTTTGACAACGAACGTTCGACTGGGGTCGTCACTGACAACGAAGCAATTGAGCGAAACAGATTGTGTGGAATCGAGAGGTATAGCTGTTGAGTGGGGTTAAACGTCATTCCAAAGAGAGGATTGTCGCTACATACCTGGTGCCTTTGCAATTACATGGAGATGATCGTCCGTGACATCCTCAAGAGAGGTTAATTTTTTAGTAGGAGACAATTTCTGCTGGTCGGCAAGATTTATGTTCTCCAGTTCCGTTTGAAGATGGTCGATGGGAATCGAGACCGCCCAAAGGTCGAGATCTGATGCAGCAATATGGTTGAGATGAGGGGCTTTCTTCTCCTTAATCAGGTCTCTGAGAAAGCTGATACTTTCGTTCTTTGGAATTTTGACAACGAACGTTCGACTGTGGTCGTCACCAAGAATGAGGCAATTAAGCGAAAGTGACATAGCGCGTTGTGAGGTGAAAAATCACATCAGTCAATCAGGCCTCTAAACCAAGATCAGTGATCACGTGGGTATGTGATCACGTCATTTTCTTAAGGGCCTGGCACTTCCACTTGACCAAAACTTTGGCAAGCTCAGGCGCAGTAAAAGTGGATGGCAAAACCTCCGAAAGCATTCGCCACTCGCCGGCTTGGCGAGTCGAGTATGCGAGAGGCTGGCGAATGCTGGCGAATGAAAAAATTTGAATTTCTGTCGTTTTGCGCCAAAGTAGTATCCTATTATTATCTTTGATTTTTTTCTCAGCAATCACAATCATTTTTTCGTCACTGACTCACTGCTGAAGCCTGCTTTGGGTCTGTGTAAGTATTGTCGAGATCAAATTTGGATGGGATCAACAGATCGGAGCATTCAAATCAGGAACAAGAATTGGTTTTCAAAGGGAATTTGGGGAATTTGGCCTGCAGTCAGAATTTTCCGACATTGACAACCATAGATGATATTTTATGCGCCCATAAAGGTTTGTTATTCTCTGTAATTTTGGCAAACTTCGCCAGGTCTCGCCACCCTGTTTTTAATTGTTTGTTTCGCCAGCCGGCGATCGCCAGCTGGCGAAACTGGCGTGGCGAGCTGGCGAGCAGTTGCCAATAACACTAGCCGCGCAGTGTTCTCTGCAGAGTACAAGCGCCAATTCGATATCGACAGGAACCTCCCAGATCCTCATTGAATCCAAAACCTCCCCCTCTTCAAAGCTTCATTAATCATTGCTTATCCCATCCCCGCTTACGACGCGAAACTTCGGAAAGCTGGTGTGGCTGACTTGAATATCTATTCCGTCAAGTAAGGACACACACCCTCCCTCCCACCTTGTTAATAATTTTGTCTCACCACAGCTTCTCCGGAGAATGGATGGACCTCCTCAGATTCTCTACATGTCCGCGAGTTAGGAAGCGAACCAATGGGCTGCATGAAATGGGCGATGGAGAGAGGAAGACAAGCCATCACCATTATGAATTCTCAACCTATTTCATCGCCCCTCACCATTTATTCAGCTTTTCACAGGTCCATTGAACTCTGATTTGCGTCAACGTCAATTTACCGATTGTTTTGCTCCCGTGAATATGTCCACTTTCGGGATTGAGCGCCCTCGAATGGCTCTTAATACAACTTCCGCGACTGCCAGCCCATCCAGAGAATGATTTGGCATGCTCAAGCGTTGTGACAGTACCGGTACGATTCTGCTGTTTCATTCCCCTCAGTATTACTAACACCCTTCAGCGGAATCACTGGTCTCGAACATTTCCCCCAAACAGCCCTTCTCGACGCTTCAAACACATTCGGCCTCTCCTAGAAACGTCGCTCTTCCTTCCCCTCGCTCGCTTGCTGGGTTCATGCCAAATTTTTATGGCATACTCAATAATGGAGATTCGTGGGCCTCTCGACGTCGTATGTAAATAAGTATATCGATTATCACACTCATGACATAATTTGTAATGTTTTCTCAAAGTTGCAACTCTAAAGTGAATGACTTTAAAAAAGTAGGTAAAAGAGTAGGCACTGAAGTCAAACGTCGACGCGCCTGCCTTACTTACATCAATAGATGGGACCGTCAACAGGGCACGGACATAGGTCTCTTCCAACATTGTTTACGTCCTTCAAGGCACGCTTCTTAGCGCTCCACTTTTGGGTTCGAATAACTCTATATGAGAGCTAATGGATTGCTAATCCTCCCACGGCCCAGGCTGGTGGTAGACGGACTAAATCAGCTCCACCAGAATTGTTTGTGAATTTTGTTTTTTCCTGGTGGGGTCTTGTCATGCTCTCCATGAGGCTTCTGCGGTACAAAGCCTCAAGGCCTAGCGTATGTAAAAACATTCAGAATGACAAATCAACCCAAGTACTATTGTCCAACCACAAAAAGTCTGCTAAAAAAAACTCTAAGGGAAAAGGCACCTGCAAATCAGGACACCAGGGTGACACCAGCAGCCGGGAGTGTTATTAGCTCCCCATAGTCGTCTTTGATTTTGAGGAGCTGTGTGCCCTGAGATAAAATGTTTATTCAATAAATAAAAATTAGGGCGACACGTAAACTTACGTCCGGCAAACGGCTCGACGATAGGACTGTCGCGTAGATTATCGGGCCAGTAGAACACCAGTAGAAAACACGGGTACCTGCCTGTGTGGAGTGAGTACAGGAATAAAAAAGAGCGGTAAAAATTGCTAACGGGGAATGTGTTCATGGTCAAAGTAGTAGTAGTCGAGGTAGTGACCTGAAGAGAACTTGACGCGTACTGTTTCTTATATGCAAATGGAAGTCAACCCTGGGATCGTAAGAGAAGCAAAATCACAGACCATTCGTTGATAGGATTTCGCAAAGACTCCCAGATGGGAAAGACATTTGCGTTCCAAATGGCAAGCACATGAAGACTGTGAAGTGATTGAAACAAGCTGGCGGAAACTCAGGGAGATTAATCAAAGACTGGGGAGGCATCACCGACAGTGGTACCTTGAAGCCGAAGGCATTTCGGATCACTTCATAATATCTCCAAGTCGATGGGAAATGAAGATCAGAGGAGATTTGAGGACAAGAAAGGAGGCATGCTCCCGGAAATCGATCTCCGCGGAATGAGAAATCCCTGATGAGGAATCAAATTCGGGAGATCAATCAATTGAGAGGAACGAGTGACGGTCAAGTGTAGGAGATATCTTTCACCGCCGTGTGCACCTGAGACGCATGCAGGATGAGCATGCACAAGTACTCATACGTTACATTATAGTTCAATGGTACTCCACATGGTCAATTGTACCTATGTACCATAGAGCTACCCCAATGGGGCCAATGCTATCTAAACACTATTGAATAAAGTTGGGCCCAATGCATGCTTTTACCTTAAGGTGCGATGGTGTGGCCCAATTGTAAAATATCCCGCAACATTGGGCCCAATTGCTATTTAACACGTGATCATATGCTGGTCCGACGAAAAAGTAGGCCGAAAGATATATCCGAAGACAGGGAGAGGTCACTACTACGACGCCGATTTCTCCGCCTTCTCAATCCTTGCTTCGATCCGAAGCTCCTCTTCCTTCAGCATGATCATAGTATCCAACTGCCTCAACTGATCCTCTACGTGTGCCATTGCATCCAAAAGAGCATCTCGAGCTCTCAAACCCTCCTCGTATTCCCGATTCAATACCCTGTGGGCGATTCGGGCGTATTCCAGTGGATTGGTAAGTCTTCCCGCATCAGGCAGGCCATCTTCGGCTCAAATTGAAATCCGGCAGTTGACTTGAAAGCGGATTGCAACTTACGGATTGTTTATTCCACGAGGAGTGAGATTTCCCCCCGCATTTGACGATGACGAGGCCACTGGAAGAGAAGCATGAGCGTCGATAGACGAGGCGGTGCCTTTGTTGTTGAAACCCTCAGCTGGGGTATGTTGTAGATCGGCTCGATCTGCGAGTTGTTTGAGCAAGTCGTCTGTAATGAAAAACTATCAGTAAACGTGACTTTGGAGTTTTGGCAACTTACCTGAACTTGTGGGGAAAGACATCGGCTGGCTAAGTAGAATGGACAATGCAAGATGCGGGTGTTCCAAAAGTTCCGAAACAAACGTGATGAATCCGAAATAGGCAATGTTGATTTTCGTTACTCCCACGGTGATTCCTTTATCTTCAACCAACATCCAAGTCGCGTTCCTCTCATATTTCCCTACCTCCACCATGCCCTCTCACCTAGCTCAATTCCAATTTCCCCAAGGATATGGTGAAGCCCCGATGACAGTGTACCAAGCGGAAGGCATCATTGCCTCAATCCCAGGAGTCACCGACAAGATCGTCAACTGGTTTAAAGGGGAATACCGCCAGGCGAACTCCTCTGATAGGCTCAAGAAGGAGGTAATGATGCGGCAAATGATGGTGAGTGGCTTGGTAGTTATGAATTGCACCAACACTAACCCCTGGTAGCAATATTACATTAGTGCTCTGAAAACGACGGGGAAGGACAAAACCACCGACCTTGAACCCCTCGTGGTTCGAATTCTTCAAGAGGCCCTCCGAATTCAAGAGGGCTCTTTTAACTGGGCAGTTATCGCCGAACCCCCTGCTAAACCGATCTACGAAGATTTCCTCGCCGCATGGGATGCCCCCGGCGACGATGAGCCCGAAGTCGTCACCAAACCATCTAATCCTCAGGAGAATGCGAAGGGGAAGGGCCGTGAGACTGGGACACCCGTGGATGAAACTCCGAAGCACACCACCCGAGGAGCCAAACGTAAATTGGAGGAGGAGGAGGACGCCGAGGTGGAAGGAGAAGAAGAAGAAGAAGAAGAAGAAGACGAGGAGGAGGGGGAGGAGGGGGAAGAGCAGAAGCGGGATGAGGGGCCGAAGAAAAGGTTGACGGGGGCGACGAAGAGAGTGAGGATCAAGTCCGCGGCGGAGGTGAATTCCGGGGATGAGGGAGGTGATGGTGGCAATCGTTCCACCCCAAAGCGGCCTCATCCAGATGGGGTTTGCCAGGCATGTAGGAATGCGGGGCAAGTTTGTCTCCTCAGTGTCTCAGGTCGAACTGCTTGCGACCGATGCAACGGGCGGAAGGAAAGGTGTAGTCTGACCAAGGGTAGAGGGGGTGAGAAAGGCGAATCGACAACCAAGGGTAGCGGTGAGAAGGGGGAATCCGCGAAAAAGGCTGAGCCGAAGAAATCGGGCAAGAAGCCCACCCTCCCCACGAAGCCCTCTTCGTCGGGATTGAAGCCGTCGGGATCCAAGTTGACTGGAACCCATCTTCTCGGGGAGAAGATGACGGTATTCAGCAATCCCAACTTCGAGGGGATTTCACCAATTCCACCGAAGTCGATTGGGGAGCTCGCGGGGGACAGGGGACAGTCTGAGCCAAGTGTCAGGGTGAGGAGGCGGAGAAGTGAATCCGTTCGAGAGGGAAGCATACGGCCTGGACATGACCAGGAAATTCCAAGTAAGTTGATTTTATTTTTTATTTCAAGTCGTTTATACTGTCAGCACAAGTGGCTACCACCTTTATGATAAAACCAAGGCACTTGCCTGTAGAGCTGTGTGTATAAGTCCACAAGTTTTATGAAAGGCCTTTCATAGGTGTGTCCTGTGTCTTTCTTTCTCATAAAGGCTATAAATGTAGGCAAAGACCACAGGATCCTTTCATAACATTTCTTAGGACCTTTCATAAAAGCTTTCATAATTATTATCATGTGCTTTCTATGAATATTTCATTGAAGCTGTTCAGTTCTTTCATTGTACTTTTCATAATTAAACCTGTGTGCTTTCAATAGGTATTTCATTCACTGGGTTAGGTGTATTCATTGCCTTTTTCATAATTAATGGTGTGCACTTTCATTGAATATTTCATTAGGAATTTTCGGCGCTTTCATTGCTTTTTTCATAATCAATCCAGTGTAATTTCAATAAATATTTCATTGACTATGTCAGGTGTATTCATTGCCTCTATCATATTTAATGGTGTGTGCTTTCATTGAATATTTCATTAGGAATATTGGATGCTTTCAATAAATATTTCATTCCCTAGGTCAGGTGTATTCATTGCCTCTTTCATTAGGAATTTCAACGATTTTCATTCCCCTTTCATTAATTAATGGTGTGCGCTTTCATTGAATATTTCATTAGGAATATTGGATGCTTTCATTGTACTTTTCATAATTAATGTTGTGTGATTTCAATAAATATTTCATTCCCTAGGTCAGGTGTATTCATTGCCTCTTTCATTAGGAATTTCAACGATTTTCATTCCCCTTTCATTAATTAATGCTGTGTGCTTTCATGTGCATTCAAATAAATATTTCATTGGCTAGGTTATATGTATCCATTGCTTCTTGTGCACTTTCATTGAATATTCCACAGCTTTCATTGGGATTTTTCATTGAGTATCTCTCAATATTTCATTCCAATTTCATATCTACCCCCAGGGCTATCATTATGATTTTTCATTATATTCCATGATAGCAATAAAATAGCTATTATGGTCCGCATTGGGAGGGTGGTCACATGACCAATTTCCAAAAATGGGAAAAAAACAAAAGTTGTAGCTCTTCACCATAGCTTTCTGAATCAGTTGGAATTATGTTCTAAAGTGCTTCCATTGTGGAGATATGAGGTAAAATGTTTTCAAAAGTGCTGCGTTTTTTTTTGTTTTTTTTTGCATTTTTCTACATGAAAAGAACACTAAACAACATGATTTCAACAGATTTAGAAAGCTAAGAGAAGGGGCTACAACTATTGTATCGTGGGAAATTTCTCCCAAAAAGGAAGGTACATGCCCTAAAAGGGTAATTGACTACAAAAGATTGCTCATATACTACAAAAGTCAGTCATAGCCTACAAAGTTTACTTATAGACTACAAAAAGACTACAAAAGTCAGACATAGACCACAAAGGTCAGACAAAGACTACAAAAATTAGTAGTGTCTGCTTTTCTCATTACAAAAGTAATAGTGTCCGCTTTTTGAGATTAAAATGGTTTGTAGTGTCTGTTTTTTCAGACTACAAAAGTTAGTAGTGTCTGTTTTTTTCAGACTACAATGGTTTGTAGTGTCCGCTTTTTTCATTACAAAAGTTAATAGTGTCCGCTTTTTGAGACTACAAAAGTTAGTAGTGTCTGTTTTTTCAGACTACAATGGTTTGTAGTGTCCGCTTTTTTCATTACAAAAGGTAATAGTGTCCGCTTTTTTCATTACAAATGTTAATTGTGTCTGCTTTTTGAGACTACAATAGTTTATAGTGTCCGCTTTTTTCATTACAAATGTTAATAGTGTCCGCTTTTCTGACATATAGTTTGTAGTGTGGTTGACTATGTATGTATAGGTCATTGGGGATATGGTTGAAGGATTGGGATGAGTTGACATTCTGCCACTCATGAATAGTTGCTTTTGATGTCAGGTCCATGGCTGTTTTTCATACTTGCAATATGTCCTGTCTTTTCACATGAGAAGCCACTATCCTATCTTTGATGTTGGTCAACCTTCCACTGAGATCAGTATCTGCTGTCCTATGTCTGACCACAGTCAATCTTCACATGATTTTTTGGAGGGATAAATTCTCTGTCCTACCAGAGCAACTTGTCATGTCTTTCAATACCAGGACCAGTTGTCATTGTCCAAGCCTTCACCACTGGGGTCAGCCTTGAGTAGATTGATTTAAAGGTATCAAAAGTGAAGTATATAGGTGGTTTGGTCCTCTCTGCTTCTCAATGTCTATCCAGGATTCATGTGAAACACACCCTTTGATTAGATAGGATAGTGACTTCTCATGTGAAAAGACAGGACATATTGCATACAACTTTTGTTTTTTTCCCATTTTTGGAAATTGGTCATGTGACCACCCTCCCAATGCGGACCATAATAGCTATTTTATTGCTATCATGGAATATAATGAAAAATCATAATGATAGCCCTGGGGGTAGATATGAAATTGGAATGAAATATTGAGAGATACTCAATGAAAAATCCCAATGAAAGCTGTGGAATATTCAATGAAAGTGCACAAGAAGCAATGGATACATATAACCTAGCCAATGAAATATTTATTGAAATGCACAATGAAAGCACACAGCATTAATTAATGAAAGGGGAATGAAAATCGTTGAAATTCCTAATGAAAGAGGCAATGAATACACCTGACCTAGGGAATGAAATATTTATTGAAATCACACAACATTAATTATGAAAAGTACAATGAAAGCATCCAATATTCCTAATGAAATATTCAATGAAAGCGCACACCATTAATTAATGAAAGGGGAATGAAAATCGTTGAAATTCCTAATGAAAGAGGCAATGAATACACCTGACCTAGGGAATGAAATATTTATTGAAAGCATCCAATATTCCTAATGAAATATTCAATGAAAGCACACACCATTAAATATGATAGAGGCAATGAATACACCTGACATAGTCAATGAAATATTTATTGAAATTACACTGGATTGATTATGAAAAAAGCAATGAAAGCGCCGAAAATTCCTAATGAAATATTCAATGAAAGTGCACACCATTAATTATGAAAAAGGCAATGAATACACCTAACCCAGTGAATGAAATACCTATTGAAAGCGCACAGGTTTAATTATGAAAAGTACAATGAAAGAACTGAACAGCTTCAATGAAATATTCATAGAAAGCACATGATAATAATTATGAAAGCTTTTATGAAAGGTCCTAAGAAATGTTATGAAAGGATCCTGTGGTCTTTGCCTACATTTATAGCCTTTATGAGAAAGAAAGACACAGGACACACCTATGAAAGGCCTTTCATAAAACTTGTGGACTTATACACACAGCTCTACAGGCAAGTGCCTTGGTTTTATCATAAAAGTGGTAGCCACCAGTCCTGTCAGCAGGAGACACACTCCTGTCAGGCCTCAATGACGGGTCTAGCACCCCGCCCCAAATATCGGATCCCTTCACCGATCGGCTGGACAACATTTCGCTCCACCAAAGGCATCAGATGAGCGAGCTTGAAAGGCTCACGGTGAAGCTCCGGGATGCCAACTCCCGCATCGACACATTTTCGGCTACGAGCCTTCGGCAAAAAGACACGAACATCGCTGAGTTGGAGCAACAAGTGGAGATCCACAAGGCGACCATCTCAGACCTCCAGCAAAAGCAAGACCTGACTACCAAGGTCCTGGCCGCGTTGTCGGCACACATTGAACATCTGGAGGATGCTGGAGGCGCGGTAGATGGGGGGGATGCGACCTTCGCTGTCGATCGAGGGCTAAACGAGATCAGGGGAGAGATGATCGATATGGAGCAGAGGATCGCGTCGGAGTACCAGGACAAGAAGGAAGTCGACGCCGTGGCCTCCAATATGGAGGTCATCCTCAACACCTTCATCGACGATGTCAACAAAGACCTTCAAGAAGGTCATCGTAAGACTGCCAACATTGCCGGTCGCCTTTCTGAACTCGAACGCCGAAAGCTAGATGAGAGGATCGGCCATGTAGAAGCCCTCAGCTTCGAGTTCCTCACTGCCGCATTTGCCCAGACGAAGGGTGATAGGGGCGAGTACGAGGAAAAGATGGAACGACGTCGGTGGGAGATGGACAGATTGGCTTCGGCTCCACGAGTCCCTACTGCCGGCCCGTCGAACGCCATGCCTACCGCTGGCCCATCGAAAGAGGTTCCCACCTCCGCTCCAGTCCCTTCGGCAACACCTGCCCAACCTGAGGAAGTCGACACCAGCGAGGACAAGTCAGCTCGAGTCATTGCTCCACTACCCCGACGAAATGTGCCTCAGTCGTCGGCTGGCACGACCGAAAGGTTTGGGGGCTGGGCTGGGCTATCGGCACCAGTCCCATCGATGTCCGAGTTAGAGTCCACACTAAAGGTAGCGGTTGATATTCTGACAGCTACTGGGGATGACAGGTACTCCTCACAGTTCAATGCCAAGGCTGACCATGCGCCAAGGAGGGAGACGCCGACGATGAAAAACGTTGGCCCATCGTCGGATCCCATCACCGAAGCAGTCACTCCGAAGCCACCCAGTTCTGAGGTCATGAACTTGGTGGATCAGGGTGAGGACCAAGGTGACAACCAAGCTGATTCGACCAGGGAGCCGGAAGCTGAGAAGGGTGAGCAGAGCGAGGGGGCTTGAACTATCGCCGGCGGCATGGCCCCTTCTTTTTCTTCATGTCATATATATCATTTTGCGACTTCAATGTTTTTTCTTACCTTGTAATATTTTTTTGGTGCAATTTATGATCTTCTTTTGGGATGCCTTGGATTGGAAAGGAGTCAAGACAAATAGCACCGACAAAACTAGTGAATCCAATCCGACGAAGCCGTAACCAGTCTTACGATTAATGGCCGACGAAACAGTGGGTCCGACGAAATGCTAAATACTAGGCTACAATGACTAAGTCCCAGCTTTCCTTGGCCTCCCTCGGCCTCTCTTGGGTGGGTTCCCAGATCCGCCAGCTGGCTTTCTACCTTTCATCGGCTTCGGTTCAATTGTCTTCGCCACCTCAACTGGAAGCTTGCTTGGTGGCTTGGTAACCCTTTTTGAGGTTCCGGGTGCTTCCTGTTCTGCCTTTCGTTTTCTTGTCTGCATTCCACCCATTCCACCAACAGGCAAGGAAGTATTGGCTGGGCTCTCCGCCAGCCGATGGGTTGTGTGAGCAGCTGATGCCGGATGGCCTTCGTCGGATGCGATGTGCAGCAATCCCGGCGATGGCACTACTGCCGATGGCAACATCATTGATGGTGTAGCAGGCCTTTCAAAGATCACCGCAGGCCGAAGTAAAGGGACTGACTGTGGGGTATGCCGCATTACATCAATCATTTTCGGAACTTCTGGACCGACGTTGGCATCTCCTGATGGTCCGGCGGCGGCAAGCTGCCAAAACGAATCAAAAAGATCTTTGAGACGGGGTGTAGAATATTTAGCCATTAGTCCAACAGAACTGTCGATATTCCTTGCTGGTAATGTGTAATCATTGGTCTTTGTTTGATTCATCTGGATGACTACATCCTTCGGTGCTGTAGAACAAGGAATATCAGCGTTGGCTATTGATGAACCGCCAGCCCCGATTGACGATGAAATCCACAAAGTTGCATCGGAAAGCGTGCTAGCCAGGCTGCTGGCAAAGGCATCTTTTTGGATGTTCTTTGTCCTTTCGTCGGAGGGTCTTTCATCGGAGGGAGAGGAAATGGCATTGAGCTGATTCGGAGCCGATGCGTGGTGATTTGGCGAAGATGCTTGCTTATCTTCGGTTAGGGCTTTGTCTCCTGCAACCAGAGGTTTATCGGTGATGGCGACTCTGAAATCGTCGGTGGCTGGATCATTCGCCTGTTCGGCAGTACCGCCTCCGACGGTACTGCCATTAGCTTGGAACAGGCCTGAGGATTCTGCCCAGCCCTGAAAGACTTGGAATTCAGTCTGGATACGGTCCGGCGACCAGCACTTGTATTCGGGTAGCTTGTTGGTGAAGGCCATCCAGAGGGAATCTGGTTCCTGGGAGGTTCCGCCAGTGTTGTTTTCCTTCAGTGGCCTGTCACCGAACTGATTGATCTGCTCGTCATCCGAAAAGGCGAAAAGGTCAACGCCATTGAAGTCAAAGTCTTCCCCACTGTCCAAGTCGGGTTCGTCAACAACCCTCGGCTTTTTGATTGGTCGAGGTTTGATCTTCTTTTGTGTAGTTGTCGCTGGAGATAGATCGTCATCGGAGGTAATAAAATCCACCGAAGCCTTCAACTTCTTCTTCGGCCGACCTTTGGCAGTGTGCTGTTTCCCCCTCTTCCGAGTCAAGTCGTCGGATGGTTTGCAGCCCTTCTTCGGAGGTTCGGCTTTGACGATTTCACCAGCATACATCACCAACTTCCACCGAAATGCTACCAAGCCCGATGATTGCCTTGCTAACCAAAATCGCAAAAGCTTTCGAACCTTAACAACCGTGAGATGCGATGGCTCCCTATCTATAGACTCGTAACCTGGTAAATATTCGGCGGAAATGAAGTCTTTCGGTGCGTTTATAACATTGGTCCAAGGAACACGCTGAGTTCCATCCTTGGTTGCCAGAGCTTCCGGCAAATCAGGTAGGCTTCCAATGGTAGGGGAGCAAGAACATACCGTAATGGGCACCGAGGTAAGACCGAAGCAGTGCCTTTTGCCACTTGATTGTTGCTTCTCCCGTGAGATCTGAAGGCCAAGTCGCTTCTTCGGGAAGTATCGGCTCTCCATCTTGATCCACGTCAAGTTCCATTAGGGCTCCTCTCAGCTGGAGACGTAGAATCGGCTGCTCTTCGGACATTTTATAAACCCTCTCCAAATACTTGCCCCAAGTTCTATCCGTTACAGGAGCATCATTAAACATATCCTTGTAGGCCGTGCCCCCTCCCAGCTCATTGTTAAAATCAAACCTTGCTGAGAC